TTATAATCTTGGGGATATCCTATCCTTTTTATCAACTTTGAATAGTATGATTATTTCAGCAAGTTTCTATTTGTTGGGGTAGTAGTTGAGCCTAAAGCAAATTACGAAAATCTTATGTATTACATTCTTTATACTAGACCAATACACCTTAAGGAGGTAAATAGTTGCCCAATCGACTCCAGATAATATACTCTTAACTCCTATTATATGTTTTTCTACTTCCTCCGCGATAATCATTCTTTTTTATGATAAGGTTGTCTAACTATTCTGTTTCTATAAAGGATTGTATTGTAGATTGTTTAATGCTTTGAAGTGATTAAGTATTGTTGTAAAGAGTGCTTCGGCTTTTTCCCTGATATCAGTGATCTCTTGGCCTTCGATTATCAAAGGAGAGACCTTGAGGCCTGCTTCTGGAATCAGCTTGTACCAGTTTATAACTTTGTATAGTTCCTGATTGTTCTGTACATTATTCAGGTGTTTAGTTTAATAGACTCGTTTCGATATTTGTATAACTCTTTATAGATTCTATTAAACAATTACTATTTTGTTAGTAATTCCAGTTCTCCTAGTTTGTGTATATATTCGATATACCTTCTTACATTTATTGATTTATTATAGGAATAATCAATAGGGTTTACAGCCTTTCTGCCCCATAGTTTTTATAAAGACATTCAATACACTTGTGAGTCTAGCGATCAGTCTGTCAATATCGTGGGTAGACTGGGGTCCGGGTTCTGGAGATTCGCTAAGCAATTGGTCATTATACCTGCTAGACAGAGTAAATCTGAATCGCGTATCTGGATATACACTTGCTTGTATTCAGAGATTCCTCTGTCCAAAATGGTAGTGACTTGAGTGGCATAATTAGAGCTACTGTGCAGGTTGTCATCAATCACTGTTGTAGTAATAGCCAGATTGGAAAAGGTCAGGTCCAGAACGTGTCCCCTCGCATGCGTAGGGGCACCAGGAGTCCCGATATACTCCATTCCCTGTTCGACAGCCCATTATACAAGCATGTCGCCTTGGTTGGCAATTGCTATTCCGGGTTCCTATAGATCATATTTAGTATTGAAATCACCTCCAATAATTATACCAATCCCTAGGGCAATCTTTAGTCCGAGTATATATTCTATTATCAGCGGATCAAGTGGGTGTGATAGGTATTAAGAATCGAGTACTTGTTAATATTGATTCAAAATAGATCCCTGCTTCCGGTCTGCCTCATTTGTCTGATCTTCAAGTTGTCTCCTTTTCATATATAAGTAATCACTCATGGCCCACATTCAGGGCCATCAGCCGCCCCCTAGGTATCGATCGGCTGGTATTAGTCGTATACAGTATAATTTTAGATTGCCGAGTTATTGTACAGTCGGGGTTCTTGAACACAGATAATATCCATATCAGCTTTTCCAGTAATCTATAGAAGAATAATATGATTAAAGTATCCGTACCCCACATTCGCTTATACAATTGTGAGCCCCCTCCCCCCTATTGAGTTTGCACTAATTATGCAACTCATACAAAGATAATAACAGCTTTATTGGCATTTGATTCACTCCTCTTGCTTATTTCAGAATCAGAAAGTGAAAAGCTTTTTTAATTATAATTGCTACATTATAGTTTATCTCTTTGTTAATATAACACAAAGAATTATAATCCGAAATGTGAATCGAACTATTGAGGGGGCCTTTCCCTGGTTGGGCCTGTTTGAGTGATTAGTTTACCAATTGCTATTTGTTCTTGTAGATAATGATATAGGCTCCTGATGTAGGAGATCTGAGAATGATTACTTAAGGCTATTTATCTAGCATTGTAGCAAATACCTTTCCCTTATGCACTTCCTGAATCTCCCTTCAGCCAGCGATCTGACTTCTCTCATTTATCAGTATATAAGCCTAATCAGTTTTCCATTAATTGATTACAATGCTGCTGGGCAATTGCTATATACAGATCGGAAGGGTTCAAGACACTCTACATACTGAATATTGTTTTGGTATTACTCATAGATCTTTCCATCAATATGTTTAGCAGCCAATTCGCTGCACCTAGAACAATACACCGAGTGATAGCATATATACGGGTTGCAATATAACTGGCACCCATTAGAGTGCTATTATGATTGGGGGTGTTGTATCCTATCAAAAGGCTTCGAGTATTCGCTGATATTAATAGTCGAAATGGTTTTATTGGCTTCCTAAAGCTAATAATCCAATTAGCCTTCCCTATGAAAGGATCACCCATACTTAGAGATTCTATATTGAACCAAATCCTCTCCTACTTGTACCTTGATTTCTTCTTGGATGATTGTATCAGGAAGTATTATGAGTACGCCTAACATATTGTGAGAAACCTGGGATACAATATAGTTATACCAGGTTTCCGCGGCTTGAGCGTCATCCGCACCAAGCGCGATGATTAGTCTTATACAATTGTCATCTCACAAGAGGTTCTTGCAATCCTCTAACGCCTTACATCCCAGAGTCCACTTCATCCTATTGCAATAAAGCAAAAGAATCAATTCAAGCCTTAGTCTAAAAATTGCTTCTTTTATTTTCAGTTGTAATTCGAAAAGATTATTGGCGATTATTTATTACCCACTTCCCATTTTTATAAAAATCGTACAACTGTTTCGCTCCTGTCGTTTATGCTTCTATAATATCTCTGTCGTCTTGAGCACACTTGCCTTGATGCCCTTCAATACCTGAGGTACTTCCCCAGCCTTAAGCGCATCAATATAGGATTTAGTAGATCCCTTTGTAGTTACTCTTATAATTAATATAAAAACCTTTTATAAAGATCTGGTTTATCCTATAATCTTAATCATACTATTAATATATACAGATCTTAGCTTGTTAACATAACTCAATTCCGTTTTGCTCAAGGTTTTAATACACACATTAATCGCACTTGCGATTTTTAAGGTCACTTATTGCTTTTCGTTCTCTTTATAAAATTAATCGATTATTGCTTTATAAATAAATCATATATCGTCGTCTCCCCCCATATTAATTATTACTATAGTTGTCGTTATCGTTATAAGAGCGATCGGATTGCGACCCGGTGCACTCGGCAGCGCGACAGGACGCTCATGATTGCACATTGACAGTATCATAGTGAGCCCCTTAGGCTATTTCTCAGAAATGAATTATATTATAACTACTTTCACAAGAAATTGTGAAAATATTTATAATAAGATTGAGTTTTTGTTTAATACAATTTTGGAATTATTGTATTTTTTATTTATTTATTTATTTATATTTATATTAATTAACGTCTGTTTTGGACCTCCCTAAGGGTATTTAGACGTGCTAAGATAAGGAACTATTTGAACAGCATAATCGTCACGACCGAATTTAGCAATTTAACTTCAATGCCAGGGGCTATTCGCTCCTCTACAGGTGCGATCCGCTTCTGTTTCCAGAAGGGAACGTCTGATCCGGATTGTTGTTGAGGCAAAGCTTGGTTCCCGAATGAATAAACTCGTTGTAGACTTCGATCCCTATGATAGAGGAAAAGAAGCAAAAGTAGATTGCTATTTGTTTAGCCGAACAACAGGGCTCTTGTATTATATATTGGGTTTGCGGTTTTTAGAAATATAATGTATTCAAGTAATCAGTTGAATAATGAGTTTATAAGAAATGAACAGCAAGCTTTATTGAAAAGATTGTCGCTTTCTAAAAGTCCTTTAATAGTTAGGACAGATCTGAGTGTAGAACTCTGAGTTGGTAATCAGTTGAGTGAGCTTGCTAGATGTGTATAAGAGTTTCTTGATATATATAATCACCTGCTTATTAGATTGCATTTCTACAGGGGCAAAGGCCAGTCTGAATGCTTTAGATTGTTTATAGTATATTTAAAGAAATGATATAATTCCTTAGCATTACCGCATAAGCAATCCAGCTTGTTGTTTTGATAACCAAATCGCTAATGGTAAACAGTGTAATCGCTATGGCCTGTTTTCATAACTATCAGTCGATATAAGACTGCTCTTGGTAGAGTTAGTTCCTTGGCTCCTTTGTATTGTATCTAGGAGACCACTCCTTGTAGCCAGTGGAGAGAGAGGAGTTCATCTCTTCCTACCAGGTAGATTCTGCGTGTAGGCGCTTCTGACGGACGATTGTTCGGACCCCACTGATTGTTGGTAGCTTGTCGATTGCCTGGTCCATAGGCCCAATTGCGCCTGCGTTTGCTAAGCGATCTGCTTCCTCATTGCCTTCGATCTCCATATGTCCAGGTGACCACTTTATCCTGACATCGAGTTGTTTCATTGCTTTGTGACACTTGTGAAAAGCCCATTGTATTGTAAGCAGTGCGTTTCCGCATATACCCCAGATGACCGATATACTGTCAATACACATCCAGATCCGACTGTTCAAGGGATCTTCAAGCATAATGATTAGATGCTCCAATCCGCGCCATGCTCCTATCGCTTCTGCATCGAATACATGTGAGTCGCTTCGGATCTGCTTAAATCCGGAGGCTATTTGAGTGCTATTGCGATATATTGCATATCCATAGCCAACACAATGTTTGCGATCAATGATTTGTTCTGATCCGTCAGAGAAGATCGTGTAGTCTTCGGGTGGGAGTTGTCGCCACCCACTCTTTGAAGGCTTGAGCTGCTTCTTCTTTGGTTAATCCTTCCGTTGGATCCGTTCTGCTGGAATTATTGTATTGTTGAGTATATGTATATGTATATATTTATCTCTATATATATATATTACTAAAAAAAAAATTATATAAATCTTAATGAAGTTTACTCGATTGATAGTTTTCGATATATTATATTGTATTATATTCTTTTGATTAATACTTTGAGAAATTTAATAATAATAATCATCATTTAAAAGTTTCATATCTATCTATCTCCCTACCTACCTAATCACTTAACCCCCCCTCCCAAACATAAGACATCTCTACTATTCCATGAAAATTTCTTGATTCTTATACTCATAACCTTGGAATTTATTATAGAGCTTTCTTCTTATATTACATACTAAGCAATAAGGAAAGAAGGAAAGAAGGAAAGAAGGAAAGAAGGAAAGAAGGAAAGAAGGAAAGAAGGAAAGAAAGAAAGATTAAGAGCTGCGTATCTAGTTATTGATACTTACTTACCTACCTATCTATCATTCTATAACCCTAGAATCTTCAACGCCAGATACTAATTCTTCAACGCTATAAAACTTTCCAGTCTAGTATACATATACATATACCTACATATACACATATATGTAAATGTACATGCCATACTCTATAGTATCCAAACGCCACAATGCCAACTCCATCACATGAAACAAGCATGAAAGAATGCGTGTGAATAATTCAAAGAGAAGGGTAAAGTTGTCCCTTTCCCCTCCCAACTCAAAAAACTCCTCATATAAAGGTAACAGTGAAATCCCATACCCTCATTCTATTTCTACAACAAATTTTCCACATCACCTCGGTCTAACATTACTCTCAGAAGCCATAAACGCCATCCAATCAGCCATTGCATCCGGCGACGAACTTCCCCCTGGTCTTAAATCCGCCATCGAATTAAGAATTTCGCTACAAAGTCCTTGGATCGACGGTATGATATGTGTAAATGAGATATTTACACCATTAATCATTGTATGTTCGGAACCCGGAACGCCAGAAACGATTCGCGTGTGCCACTTCTTTATTTCCTGACATAGAAGCTTCATGTTCCAGACACTATTTCGTTGAGCTTGGCCATTATTGTATACGAGGAGGTTTTCCATTTTTTCATCGATGGAATCAAGGTAGTAGCGGAGGTTTGCGGCTTGACGGACTTGGTCGCCGTCGAGGGATGGGGAATCGCAACCTTCGGTGAATTTTCCGAGGACGAGGAGAGCGTAGAATAATTCTATGTAGTTTGGTGCGGTAAGACAACAGAATTCTACGGGAGTGAGAGATAACACCATATCGAGATAGTCCTTCGCAGCCTGTAGACAACGAATCAACATTTCTGTTCTTGAGGAAGAATGATACCAGGAGGCTCGATTTGATGACGTAGTTGTAAATTGATGTGAGTCCGATGGAATGCTGTTAAGACTGATTTCTGCAACATATATACGGAGATGTGCATACGATATTCTCAGTGTGTCTAGATATGTTAATACAATGCAAATCTAGAACATGTAGATTTACTACTCACGATTGCTCCAAGCTTCGGCAGGAAAGTACCTCTGGATATCCTGAAATTGTTGAGACAAAGTTCTATTGAACATCTCAATTCGTACGTAATCAAGCTTAGCAAGCTCTCCATGATTGGAGTAATCAAAGGCATCGTTAACCTCTTCGCCAAGTCGATGAATTCTTGTGAAAAACGGTAACAATCTATCCGTCTCGGTTACGCTGACCTCCGATAATATTTGGCAACATTGTTCAATATAGTCGTGATACTTCAGACTATTGGGTTTCCTCAGACTGCGGCAAATTCTACGGTAATATTAGTTAATGTCCAGTCCACCAGAAAATTAGAGACTTACGATGATGTCAAACAAAAACATCCGATAAGAGTCCTCTTCTCCTCTATCTGAGCTGAGGTGAAGTTTTTAGGGCATTCAAAGCCAAGAGTGCTTGAATAGCTCGTTTGTACTTCACCAAACTTTGGCCTGTGAAGTCCAAGGTCCATCACCATAGCATTTGCCATTTGCGTAAGCTGGAATAGATTCTCTTTCGCTGGATTGTAGTGATAGTGATACCTAGACTCGTCAGACCAAACCGCTTTTTTAACCGTGTAAAAAGGTATTATAACTTACCAGCGAGGTACAAAAGTATTCCTTGTAGCAAGTCAATACTCTTCTCACCGTGCATAATTGTACGGCTACTGATTGTTTCGCGTAGCTCACTTTCAAGAAGATGTTGCAGGGGGATATTGTTTTGACTTGTACTCGCAAGAATTCCAAGCAAAAGAATGGGTCGTTCATGCCTCAAGCTTTCTAGAGAGGCTTGCAGAGGAAGAAGTACAAACGGAAAGGCTGAAGCTCTACTAGCAAACTCCTTCAGTGCCTCTTCAGCCTGTTTTGTACTGATTATGCACCTCGAAATGACATCATTCAAACCACCGTAACTAAGATTTGGAGGTGTAGACAAAGACATGTGTTGGAATGGTTTGATACTCGCATTCTCCAATGGTAGTAATGGAAAAGAAAGCTCGAACATCTCTGATAGATCCAACGGCATATTTTCTTGGGGAGATTCAGGTGTTGGGATTGAATTAGGCTGAGAATCTGCTTGAGATTTGGCTGCCAAGATATTCAAAATCCCATCAAGCTTTTGCTCCATCTCCGCAACACGCCTGATCATTGGTCAGCGTTGGAGTTTCAATGAACAGGATAAAAACTTGCACTCTAGAAGATCTCATCTTCTTAGGTCGAGGTTTCGTTTCCAAGAACACACATTTCTTCCTGCTTTTTAAACATCTACAGATATGTCAATAGGTTTCAGATTCCCGTGATTTACAAGTGACTGACCTTGCGCATCGAGTAGGGTCATCTTTACTTGGTAAACATCTACCTTTGGATGTCCTGCATGCTTCACATGAGCGCCTCAATTTAGTAGGAACCGGTGTGTCGCTATCAACACAAGCGGAAGGCTCGGAATCCGGAAGGTTCATATTGGTCTTCAACTAAACGTAAGGTTGAATGAATGAATTTTAGACAGCTTCGTGAGTAGCGGAATATGTACTCATGCCGTTTTCAATGAGATTGATGCTGAATTTGAGAAGAAAGCCATTTCAGGGTGAACATGCATCTTTGACCGTTCGAGGTTGAAGAATGTCGGAATGAGATAAAGATCCGTGATTCCGGACGCTAGCTATATGAGGAAAAGCTGGGGATTGTTATGTCAGCGATTGCCAGGAAACATCCCCTCGAAAGGGTTTTAAGTTGTATCAAAGATTTCTCATCATTCTACGATAGAATCAAAGGCATTAATTCTTGGCCGAGTGACGTATATTCTGAGGTGTTGGTCAAACAAGTCATAGGGAAAATAGAGTAGTGTATTTCTATTCTACTTCATCTTGCTCTTGCTCAAATCCACTAACGCCTAAAATCCAACGCCTAAGGGTATTAACTTCGCATAAATTCATAGATCTAGATATATAGCATGCTTTTGGACGCGTAAAAAAATCAGTCCAACTTTCCATCATCTGCAACACCTGCACTGTCCGTACCCATATTTCTCGCCTCGGTCGTCGATTGACCTAATTGCATGTCATTCATCGCTGCCATTCTCTCATCGACAGTCAATTCACTCTCTGCTCTCTTGATTTTGACAAAGAGTGCCATTATTATTAATGAAACACCTGCACAAGCAACTTCGAACCAAAATACTGCGTGGTAACTTCGTCGCAGGCCCAGACGATCTAAAGTGTAAGTGTTGATGATATCTGAAAATCCAAGACAAACTGCAATACCCAAATGTAGAATGAGCATCACCATGGAGCCAGCAAGACCTTGCTGTGACTCTGATAGGGAAGTAGTGAAGAATATGTTAGCCACTGTGAATGTTATGTCGATACCAATTGTTGCACATATCATGGCAGGGAATATATATGCCCACTGTATAATTTGTCAGCGTCTGATTAAGAAATATCTGGAGAAAGCTTACATAATTGGCGCCTGCTGGAGCAATGGCAAATAGCAAAGGTGCAACGATCCAGGCTACTCCAGCTGTGACAATAAGGGCTGTTCCTGGTAGTAGGTGGAGAACAAAGCCACCAAGTGTAGAAATTATGCAGCCGCCTAAAGCCATTGGTGCATACCACGCAACAAGCTGTAACGGGGTACCACCCATGACGCCAGTCATGTAGAATGTGGCATAAAGTAAGAAAATTCCCAGAGAACCGTAGCACAAGAAAAGTGCAAAGACAAGCGGTACCATGGAGGGGACTTTGAAGAAAGAGCTCGGAATCAAAGCTTGCTTAGTGTGGATCTCGATGTATGCAGCGGCAAGAAGCAACAAGCTCCCGACAATGAATAAAACGTAGATATAGGGCGTCTTCCAGCCATTCGGTGCATGGGCCGAATCGATGATGGCGAAAGTAAAGAGAATTAGTCCCACGACAATGAAAACAGCACCCCACCAATCCATTCTCACTTGATCATCCGTGCCCTGGCGTGCCTCGCGAACTTTCCGCTTTTTGGCAATGTCAGAAGGAATTGTCATGTAAGACGTGATAGCTGTGATGACTGCAAAAACGCAGCCAATCCAGAACCACCAGCCCCAAACTGTGAACTCAGCTACCAATCCAGCGAAGAAAATTCCCACGAAAAACCCCAGCGGCGCACATGCTCCATAAATTGCGAAAACCAAGTTCTTCCGTGGGCCTGGTCGATATATGATGCCGATAAGAGCTACACTTGAAGGTAGATACATCGCTGGACCCAGGCCTTGTAAAGCCCGACAGAAATTGAGCATTATAAGATCAGTTGAAAATCCACCTACCAGGCTCCACAAAGCAAGCCAAATGAAACCTGCTACATATGCTGGAAATGATCCATACATATCTGATAAGCGGCCGAACACCAGAAGAAAGCAAGCAAGAGTGAGCGAAAAGGCGCTGGCAGGCCATGTCGCCGAGGCCGATGGTATTCCTAGACTGTCGACCAGAGTGGGCAGTATGACTGTGAAACCAGAAACAAAGTATTCCTTTTCCACTGTCAGAGTCTGTGAATTGAAACCAAACAAAAGGAAAAGATTCATAGAACTCACGGTGAGCACCTGTGACATTGAAATTGAAAATACAAATCCAATCTCCGCCCATAGTGACTTGAAGACCTCCGGCCTTTGTCTACCTAGCCTTTCAATCCTTACCTCCGGAGATTCTTCTAACGAATCCCCCAAAGGCGAAAAAGAGTGGGGGTTGTCATTGCTGTTTTGACTGGTGTGCCCGGAGGTTTGACGTTCACCTTCCAATGAGGTTTCAAGATCCCCAACAGAGCCACCGTTTCTTTGATCCATTGCCATGTTATCGGTATCCAAATTTATCTATGTGAGGCTTCTCTTTTCGATAACCTGATGAGCTAAGCTTTTCCTGTTTCTTCGCCACCAATGTGATAGTGGTCAAAGCACTCCAACGGATCCGTAATTGGGGTTGTGAAATTCTGGTATATGCAAGGACGAGAGGGAAGATATATTTTTCTTCTCGATATCCATTTATTGTCGTGGGTAAATGAACTGAAAACTCAAAAGATCGTGGGTATATGGGAAGATAACTTGTCGTCAGGTTCCTCAAAAGAAAAGATAACAATGTGCAGAATCCTGGATGTTAAGAATAATATGCTGTATTAAAAGAAAGGAAAACAAATATGGTGTGCTTGCGCAAGAGGCGTGCGTCGTCAAGATAAAGGGCGTCACATCAAACCCCTACACCGGAAATATGTATGTGTATATGTAGTTTTTACTAATAAGTCGATCGGCCCAAAAGCCATTAGTAACCCAAGTTCACCGATTCACTGGACAGTGAAGGATGGCAAAAAAAGGAAATGGATCTAAGCGATCATATCACCCAATCCATGCAGTACTTCATGCCTGAATTGAGTAATTGATATGGCGGATTCGATGGCGCTAGACAATTTGATCGTAAAAAAAAACTAAAATCCCCAGAACATCTAGATTGAAAAGTAGGCAGTCGAGTAGTAAAAGTAAATGGTAATATATATAGCCAAGACCAATTTGATTTTGATAATGAGGAGCCCGGGTGCTGTGTACCGATTATTTGTCGTGGAACCCAAAGAGGGGGGGTTTAAGTACTACTTGGGTCTATTAAATGGGATGGTATTTGCTTACTCCGTAGGAGAATTTCTGGGTGTTCTGGGTGTTCTGGGTGTTCTGGGTGTTCTGGGTGCCTTTGTACTCGGGTGTACATACCCAATTTCACCTAAAGGCCAAACCCACGAGTCAAGCCAATGAGAGCGCGACTGAGCATACTCTGTGACCCAAGGCACAAAGAAGCTGTGGGAAGATTTGAACCATGCTCGTTTGTTGGCTTTGTGATGGCCTCATCGAAACTCTATAGAGAGCAATGGATGGAATCGAGAGATGCTGACCAAATACTGTGATGAATTGCACAATGAAAGAACGGATAATAGCATACCATGTCAAAGCAGGTGTCCATTGACAGATGGAGCATCACCGTTGAACATTATCGTGACGCAGAAACGAAAAGTAGAGGATAAATAAGTTGAAAGAGCTGGGAACGCTTGCGTAACATTTGGGAAGAATTGATGCAGCTCGGCATACTTTTGGTATCGACATGGAGTTTTTTTGGGGTTGGAGCTCCAGACAATTGAGATAGATTGATTGACGCTACTAGGTAGGTATTTGACAAGCAGTTGTCTGAGTTTTCGATATATGGAGAAACCTCTCACTCGGGACTCGGAATTGGATGAGGATGTGAAATTGTGAATGCCTGCCTATGTATGAGGCTGATCCGTACTTTTTGTTTGTGGTTCGGGAAAAATGGGTTTGGGGACAAAAAATGATATTTTGGAGTTACACAGGTCGGCGCACATAAAACGTGATATTAAAATCACGAGAGAGTCACAAGAGTCACACATATCACGTGCACAATTCACCGAGCAAACAGGGCAAAATGCACCCGAAAGCGCGCTAAAAAAGCTAACGAATTTTTTTCCAATATAAATATCTCGCTCACCTCCCGGAAACCCTCTTTCTTTCCTTCTTCATCATCAGTAGAGGTTATAATTAATACTTATAACATTTACATGGGGGCTTCGCTACGGCGACTTGCTGAGGGTTATCCTTTACTTCTTCGAAGTAAAAGTTGGGTTTTCTTCCGTTCCCGGCCCCCTTGAATGAAGGTGAACACTCTTCCTTATCAGCCGTCTTCGACGATTCAATCGGATTTTGACTGTGGGGTGGTCTCTACATATCTTACTTACTCTGTGTCATTGCTTTTTTGTGATGAGAAAGTGCGCATTGAGTAACTATCTTGCATAATGGATTTTTATGGCAAATCTATTTGCTTTGTGCGCTTGTATTGTGGCCAATATATACACGTAGCTTTGTGGCTGTCGTGTGCATATGGTAAGTAGTCTGATAGCTAGTAAATTTCCGTAGTATAAAACTTTGTGTGCAAAAGTGATGAATTTTCGAAGTTGTGTACTACGAGCATTTCTGCTGTGTTTGCTGTGTCCTAAGTGAGGTCTTCTTCCCAAGGTAGGTCGTCCTTGATTTCCTGATAGCAACCAGTTATCATGCTGCCGAACATTCAAGCTTAAGAACATGTCGTACTCGCTCATGAATTGGTAACCATTGCATGTTCTCCATACATTAGTGCCAAGGAACTGGAATTTCAGATTCAGCAAAACGTTTGCTATGCATTATGCTCTTCCAAGGATCTCTTTCGTGCAATGGTGGTTCTATTGGATTTACAGCTGTGTCGCAGGATGTACGTTGAGGCTCTCGAAAAGTCGGATTTGTAGTGCCGGCAATTCAGTGTTCGCGGATGCACACAATTGAAAGAAAAGAAGCCGCGTGTAGTCAAATGTTAATTAACATATCAATCACAATTACAATTGTGATGAAATAAATTCGAAAGTTTTACATCATCTCAAGTCTCAATATCACTCGGTGAAATAAAAAATATGATTGGCTGTAGAACGTTCATTGCTTGTATTGAGTTTTTGTTTTACCTAACTACTCGCAATAATCCCACCACATACCACTTGCTCAATAAAGAGAAGGGTAATCTAGTAGAGGCGCTTGGGTGGAGACATAGATGCCTTGATGGTCAAGCTGCCAACGTTTTGCCATCCCTTCTTCAACAAGGAGACGAGGTAGTTGATAGACAACATGATGTTGGAGATCAGTTGGTCCTCAGTCATCTCGACGTTACCGACAGCAACACCCATACACAAGACCTTCTTCAATTGGAACTTGATGGTGGACTTGACTTCGTTGATCTTACCGCTAAGATCTTCGTTGTGGGAGACTGGGGTTGGGAATTTACCAGCTGAGAAAAGCAATGTTAGTCAAAGTTATGCGATGTTGGGAACAGATAAAAACAAACCCTTGGAAAGACCGGGACCCAAGAGACGGGGAATTTGCTTGATCAAGGTGTCGGAAGCGACGAAAGCATCGTACTTGCGTGCGAGCTTCTTGATCAACTTCTTGTTCTTGTTGAGCTTCTTCAAGTCATCAGCGGACATGGCGTCAACACCACCGTGCTTGGCACGATCGATATCGTGTTGATCACCGAGAATGCTATCCATCAATCAGCCTTTGCCTCCCATATCATATATATTCGACTTCGTGGACATACCAGATGCTCATGTTTGGGCGGGGAACGACTGGGAGACGGACGGTTCCGGAGAAACGCTTGTCACGTTGGGGATCATAGTTCTTGAGGCCGATTTGGAGCTCGACGGTCTCGAGGAAGTTTCTCTTCTTGGTCTCGAGAGAGTACTCAAGAAGACTTTGTACGTTGGTACGCACTCCGGCTGTGAGGCGAATACGTTAGTATGTTTCAATTGATTTTCTAAATGGAGAAAGTATTCCTGGCAAACAGCGAAAGGCGATAACATACCGACTGTGATTTTAGACATGATGACAGTCTTCCAGTAGAATTGATAAAGTTCTAATGGTGAGGTTTGGCGTAGATTTGTCGATAATAAATTTGGGAATCAAAATTTTCGAAATTGCATTATGGTGGGGAAAAAGTTCGGTCCTTTTAGCGAGAATTCACGTGCTATACAGTCATCCAATCAAGTACGGCTAACACTACTAAGTAACGCGAAAGACATTGACTCTAAATGCTTCATCTCAAATTTCTACTCTAATATTCCAGTTAATATAATTACCACCCAATACAGTTCATGCCATTACAAGCATATTGAGACTTGAAGTGATACTGATGATCAAATATTCACGTTCATAGAGCTCAAGTTAGTGATCCAAGTGGACAAGCAGCGAATCAATTGACTGGCTGCTAATGATATCACTGGCGTTACTGGACCACTGGATCAAAAGCGCGTGTTCTTTGCTCAAATTCTCTATTTCCTTGCTATGAACTTCAAATGAATGTTGTTGCACTACCAGTTCATCACAACCACAATCGTGACATGGCAATACACTCCAAAGTGATACAAGACCTCCTTTCCCTATCATCTTTGAGCCTGAGTTTTAATGAGCCAGATCGCTCTCCAGATTTGAACTTTTCAAAGTAGTCTTCCAAGGATTTTCGCTTTGAAAATGGATTCATTGTTAGATCATAGTCCAGACTATTGAAATCACTCATGCTGCCAAGGTTGTAGTGACAGTCTCGCTGATCGTTGAACATCCTTCCTCGCAAGCCGTGCAAAAATTTGGGTACGCCGTCACTGTGAGCGTAGTAGGGCATAATGTGTTTGAGGCTGGGAAAGTGATAGTGTTAATCACAGTCTGAATACAAACTAGGCGTGCAGGACAAGAAGTTTTCGATGGACATAAACCTACACATTGTAGGTTAGTTCTTTTTAAACGTCCAAAAATATTATACGTTCACATTTCAGCTCTACATACTGGTTGGTGCAATTGTGATGTATGTAAAGCACGAAGTCGACTCCTGGGTTTGGTCGTCTTGATGAGCTGCGAACGCTGCACTGCTAGATTCGGAACGCGAATTAGTTAGAATCTCAAAGATGGTCTGGCTCACACGAAGGGCTCGCTCTCACCTGAGAATTATTGCCGCGATGAGAGTTTGCAACTTTGCCATTTCGATGTTGGTATCTGATTGAATGTCTGGTTATGGTGGAACGTCCTATGCAAGTCAAATTTTCGAGTCTTGAAGTGTGTGAGTTATAATGAAGGGATTTTCTGTGGAATAAATCTTTTTTCTAGGTTCATCTCTTTCCAATAAATGCGAGAAATTTCTCGTACATGAGCTGAAGACTTCCCACCCGAAGTGTCTCAGCTGCTAACCGCTTCTTACTTGTTCGGGGATTTCACCTTCATGTAAATAGACTGTATAGGGCAACAGATTTGCTATAGTTTTGACACTTATCCATACTTGATCCTATGAAGGGGTCTGCACCATGTGCTTAATGATCTCGAACACATTCAACCATGAGTATACCAAATTGTTAAGAAGTTCACCTGACAGGTCGATGTCAGTTGTATTCATAGGGCGGAGAATCGACATTGCCACTTCGGGAAAGATTTACACTACGGTGGCCTCCGTCAAATCAAGTTCAAGAAATTCTACCCGACGACTTCACTATTTCCGACAGAACAAGAGAGGCAGTAGCGATATACGGTGAACAACTGGTTTCGAGCCAAACTTTCACATATTACCAGAAACATCCCACTTTCAGGAAGCGGAAGGTTTATTTCTTCCATCTATACAGAATACTAGCAAGTGCACCGTTGTCAAGTTGAAGTATCGCAATGCTTACTGCCAACAATTTGCAGGTCTGGTTGTGAACTAGCGAGCCTTAAAGACACCCAAGCTCTATTATTATCACAAGATGGTTTCTTACTGACTACAGTATATCGCATCACGTATAAGTCATTGAAGACCAAAATAAATTATCAAGCTGACTGAAGATCTTCTCGGCTGTCTTAATTACTCTTGTTTTTAATGACATGGTATAGCATCACTTGAGCCCCTTTTCTTAGATGATAAGATACGTTCACTCGCCATACCCATGGTGTTCGGTTATCCCCCTCGATATTCCACTAGGTCTCTTTCCATTGACAACATGCATCCTGTATGTCACTCTACATCCAACAATGCCGTCATGTTCTCGAGGTGTCTCGATTTCTAGTGGAAAAATCTATAGTTATTGAAGTCCTCATTCAAATGTCGGTTTCGGACAGGCACATTTGTAAACTGATTCGGTAGGTGGCCTCTTGACTGTGTTATACTTCATTTAGCATACCTGAATAGGATTACTACAATATGTTAAGGTAGCGAAAAAGACCACCAACAAAGTCTAAGAATATCCGGGTCATAACGCACAGCTTTTCACGACACCAATGAAGTAGTCGTCCCAAATCATATCTCCTCTTCTTCTCTGTAGATATTCTTTCCTCTTCCTTGATGTTTGACAGCCAATTGTTCTATGGTTTGTAAAATCATAACCCCCATATATTTCATAGAAGGTTTATGTTTTCTTTCGCTCTTGTCCAGACTTCACTTTCATAACTCTTCACAGGATGCATGGATATTTTTGTTGTCAAAAGCTTTAATCAATGCAGCTGGTCACCCGGCCGATGTCTTCAGACCACAACAAGACAGCCATACAATCACAAAATCCAAAATCTTAGAGCAGAGTTTTACCTTTCATTTCTCACTTTCCAACTTCCTTTCTATTACTTCTTTACCTTTCTACACAACCACAACAACAACCATATGCAAAGAAAAGACAAACAGAGCCTCTAGTAAACACATCACTCCCATCTCTTCTTTGCAACAACTTTGAAGTCTTTATTGCCTCAGTAAAGAATAAATAATTCTTTCCAACCAAACAACCTTCTCAATTCCCTCTTTCTTGGCTACCTCACTCTCAATTTGCAATCTCGCCATCAACCAAAACGCAAAACTCATCTTAACTCGAGACCCGCGTTGTATTAATGCTGGAAGAAATAGCCCTTGCAATAATCGTCGAGATAGCAATTCTTGGATCAATCTTTGTCGTGAGATTCTTACTACGCTTCATTCAATACAACGAGGTGAATCGAGAAATCTTTTTTATCCTCTTACTTTTGGCAATATCAGGTGTTATCTCATCTTCGATCTACCATCTCAACTAAAACCCAAAATCGAAATCGAAAAAAAAACCTAAATAAAGCTCTGCAACAGCCAACATGCCACCACCACCACCATTACCAACTCCCACTCAACCTCTCCTCACCAGTGTTCTCGCAAAACCAAAAACAAAGGGCAAGATCCACGTCTCCTTTACAGACTGGGTTTTGGGCGGCTCACTCCTCTCCATCAATTCTCCCAATCCGAGTAATGTTGTTCCTGCAGCTACGCGCCAGAGAAATGATAGTCGTATCAGAGCAACGGCTACGAAGGATTAAAATGGGAGAAATATTGTTATTCTGGAAGATCGGGAACAAGACGGAATGGCGGGAGAAGTGGAAATGCTTGTTGTGAGGAAAGTTAGTAAGAAGAATGGGCATAAGAGAAGTAGGAGCGGGAGTGCGGAAGAGGTGGTGAGTGTCAAGGCGAAGATTTCAGAGGACGTATTGGAGACGGTTGTGGAGGAGAGTAAGGAAGAGAAGAAGGCAGAAAGCAAGGAGGAAGTGAAGGAAGAGAAGAAGGAAGAGAAGCAGGAAGAAGTGGTTGAGGTCAAGAAAACCGATGGTGATGATAAGGGTGAGCATGTATTGAATTTGCAGAAAGATGGAGGCGGTAAAAGAAAAGGCAGTGAACGTGGTCGAGGAGAAGTCTGAGGAGTTAAAGCAAAAGGGTGAAGAGCCCAAAGCTGATGTTGTCATCGAAATAGCTGCAGTCCCAAGCACCGAAGACAAAGATAAAGACAAGAAAGCCGAACCGGATGTCGTTATCGTCGAGGTCCAAGTCAAGGAAAAGGAAGATAAAGACAAGGGCAAGGATGAGAAGAAAGATAAAAATGTCAAAGAAACATCCAAAGGCGAGATGACCCCAAGTCTACTACCACTAAGCCTGAGGAACCAAGCGCTGATACCACAGTCACAGCCACAGATTCCAAAGAGAAGACCCCTTCTGTTACTGATAAAGCTACAGAAAAGGCCGCCGAAGCAACTACCGAGACTACAGACGACAAGAAGGATGAGAAGGGAGAACCCGTTGACGGAAATGAATGGACCAAAGAACAAGACTCAAACTCATGGCCATGAAGAAAGAAAACAAGACCTGGAAGGAAATTTCTGGGGAATTAGGTACCGGCAAGAAAGAAGTGGTGGCACGATACAAAGTCTTGCAAGAACAAGAAAAGACCGAGAACGAAGAGGAAAAGGCAGAGGTAGAAGAAAAGCCCAAGAAGGCCGAGAAGAAAAAGAAGATCAAGTGTACCGCACAAGTCGACAATGAAGATACAGAAGAGGAAATCTATATCTCACCAGATTGTCCTTACCATCAGCCCAAATCCAATGCTTCCGCTGCGTCTGCTCCAAAGCAAGAAAAGAAGAAGAAGCGCAAGTCTTATGGAGAGCTTGATAAAGATAGAGATGATGAGGATGAGGAACAGGAAGAACGTAGGCAGGGAAATGGACATGGAAATCAGCAGGGTCATCTTCGACCGGATAAAATATGGTCAGCAGAGGATTGCGAAACTCTGGAGTATCTGATGGAGAAACATAGGAGTACACAATGGTTGCAATTGCAAGCTGGGTTCTTCAATTATACGGGAAGAAATGGTTAAGGCTGAGTTTATCGAGAGAAAGTTTAGGAAGGATGGACTTGCTTGATTGAGGGTGGTTGGTAGAAAAAGTCTCCAACGGAGATAGATGGAGATTGATTCTATTTGTTTTCATTCGAGTGGTTTGTTTTGGAGGAAAATCGACATTGAGATTGGAATGCGAGTTTTTGATATATTTTGCATCAGTTATTTATTGGTCTTGATGTCGTTTTTACACAATCTGGGGGTTGATATTGAGGAGGGCATAGGGATCAGCTACCTCATTTTGAAATGCCGAGCTTCATTTGTTCACAAGTTTTTTCTTTCTTCAGCACTTCTGACTTGAGCCTTGGTCTCGTGTGCCAGTTTTTTGCTTTTAATGGACGGTAATGGGAAGAGCCCCAGGCTGTGCAAAAGCGCTGGTTAGTATGATCGAGATTAGGACGGTGCAGATGCGTGCACGTTTAGTTTGGTCAAGTGAATTCTGATGTTAGAGTACGTAGTTTCGAGGTCATTAGACGAATTATTCAGATAATCATTATGCAATCTCTAATGTTCTTTGGTTCCTACAAGGGAGTCACTTGTAAAATGCAGCTGATCTATAAACACTACCTAGGGATTTTCTATAAACGAACTCCCCGAGAACATCACAACATACGTCGAAAGGCTCCTAGCGGTAATTGTGAAGAGGAGTTGTCTTTGTCACTACAGCGACAACTATGTAGACCCACAGTCGAACTTGTTTACTCGAGTCCAAGTCCAAATCTTTTCATACTCATGGCAATTGTAGAATACCATTGATCGTCAAGAATCAATATATGACATTTAGCGGTATATCTCTCACCTTGGCAACCTCCCCCTCCCATTCCATCACCAACTTTTGATATCTTTCACAACATATGTTCCTAAGTACCAGAGAAACTCATCTAACTTTATTGAATACAAAATGAATAGAATTATCTCCCGCATATCGACTTGCAAAAATCTCCCACGACCCCAAGAAACCCCCAAATACCCGTTTCAATATATCGAACATTCGAGACCAGATATCAAAAATTAACTTTCGCCAAGAAGGGAAAACCCCGTCATCAACGAAACCAGGCAGCTTTACGTGAGTAAATCAACTAAAAAAGCGCTACGGGCCCGTTATTTCGTGCATGTGCCATTGATCCGAGCTAGTATGTGTACTTAGTCTTTCAAGTGGCATACTAAAACCTCGATATGGATTTTATTGGTGGAGCGGTTGAACTATCGGAAGTAATGATGAACTTTGAATTGAGGGAAATATCGGATTCTGGATCTTGGAATGGGATTTTACATCAAAATCGCATTAATTCGTGTCATAGTATACTATGCTATACTATACCATAGAAGGATAAGTTCTCTAAGGACTAGAACTGGATTAGCAAACTCAAAAATGATGGGCTAGCTCCTATGCTATGCAATAGATAGAATATCCCTCTCTACGTCTCTCCCACCTCCCACCTTCTACCAAACACAAGTAGGACTTCTCTCATCAGGTTTACCATCATTTACATGCACACACACACACACACACACACACACACATATACAAATATAGACATCTTAATTTTTAATCTCGATTCTCAATATCTTCGACACCAAAATGTCCATGGCGCCCATCAATATGTCGATGCTGGAAGCAAGTTTTGAGCCAAGTGGAAGTGGCCACCGAGGAAATGATAATGAAGAGCAAGGTTTCCTTCAAGAAAACAGTAAGAATACTACTAGCAAATCAAGTGGGAGAAGATAACTCATACATATTAGGTTGCGAGAAGAGCTCCGGGATGGTTCATGAGAAGCCGGCCAAAGAATCGATGTTTTCAATGTTCGAATTCCCAAAGTCAGAGCCAGATTTGAATGCACAGGAGAAGAAAATCGAGAAAGAGAAGAAGAAAGAGACGGAGAGAAAGACCAAGGAAAATGATAAATCGAGAAAGAGAAGAAGAAAGAGATTGAGAGAAGGATCAAGGAAAATGAGAGAATCGAGAAGAAAAGATAGAGAAGAAGAGAAAACGGACAAGAAGATCAAAGAAGAGGAGAAAAGAATAGCGAAGGAGAAAGCGAAAGAGATGGAAAGGAAAATTCAAGAGGACACGAAAAGAGAGAGGGAGAAAATAAACTTTGAAAAAAAGAAGATTGAAAATGAAATAAGCCAAATCAAGGCCGAGTACAAAGAGAGGCAGAAGAGAATTGATTTGGCAAGAAGAGAACAAACACGAGTACACGCGCGGGATGGTCAAGCGCCTGTCCGACACTCGCATAGGCTTGCCGCAAGAATGGCGTTATCGTGATGAAAGGGCGAAGTACGAGAAAGATCATCAGATAGAACAGTTGAAGTCGGAATTGAAAAGCACTGGACTTGCAATTGACAATGGCAGGAGAAGAGGTATTACGATTCTACCAGTTGAAAGTAGAGGATGAAATATCCAAGGAGCAAGCAAGAGAACGGTTGAGAAAATCCACACAGGCCAAACTCCTGTAGCGCAACCCGGACAAACAGCACAATCCGGTGAAGAAGAACTCACTAGAAATCCACCTTGCCGGTCGCCTCCAAAGAAGCCAACTCTTCTATGGTAGACAATCCCTTCTATGCGCCTGGCGAGCTCAAGTATCAGAAGATGGGGAGGAATGGGATTCCGACACTTGCAAGGAGTGGATCTATGATTCTCTTGAGAATGGCCTCACAGAATTTGAAGAAAAACAGCTAGATTGCCGTTTAAATAGAATAGCAGGTTTCTGCGGAAAACGCCATGTTTGCGGCGACGGAAGAGGAGTGGGTTAAACTGGTTGGCTACCGATGGTCTACTGATCCATGAACAAGTTGCAGAAGATAGCTGAAATGGTGATGGTGGGCATGTAGAAAGGGAAAGGGGGGTATCTATATAAGTGAAAGAGGAAGCGATTATGAAGTGGTGTTTATAGAGCCCGATATTATATCGAAAGGAATGTAAAATGAATCAAAGGGAGAGGATTGCTCGCTTGAACAGGGCCGCTTATCGATATACAGCAGATACACCACATAGCTGACAACACAATCTCAAGGTTGATAACAGTGGTTCTCTTCCTAAAAGTAGAAACTCAAGCCGTGAAGATATCGCCCGCTGTTTGTTCCAATCCATAATTATGATCAGTTTAGTTGTGAGCTTTTTAGACACCAGTAATCAGTACCATTTGCCCATTCGCCATGGAGAATTAACCTACACCAACCCAGCCCATTCCGGTCTTTTGTAGCCTGCTTGGCCAAAATCAATATACTAACACATAAACAAGTATCTACACCATAAATTTGAATTTATATCACTCCATCACTGTCCCAATAAATGCTGAATTATCCCAAAGCCTTCTGAATCAAACTCTTACTGGTGTCGCTCATTGGTATCTGCAATGCCAGAACGATGGTCCTTCCTCACTCATCTTCCCCCAAGTCTTTCTCAAAATCGAGATGATTTTCTCTTCATCATGACCCTTCTCAAAAGCATCAAACTGATCATCCAGAAACACTAGACAGGCAACATCCTCCAAGATCTGCGTCTCCTCATTTTTCTTCAAATCCTCTTTCCTTATCAATCTAGCCACTTCTTCCGCTTCCTCACTTGTAAAATTGCAACCAACACATATCGCCGATGCGAGATCCGCTTGTCGTTTCTTGAGAAAGGTCCTCCAATTCAGATACCCGGGCTTGGTCATCGGGTAGGAGGATCGTGGTACCTCCCAGCGTCGAAAATGCTGTGCTCGGATAGCAACTTTGAGGACGGGAGAAGCATTGGGAGCGCGGAGAGAGAGATAATGGGTCATTTTTTGGGCATAATGAAGCTCGTATGGTATACTCTCGCCATTTATTGTGCTGATAGTTGGATCTAAAGCATGAGCTTCATCAATCAAAGTGATGGCAGCTTCGTAGTTTTCCGCCGCCATTCTGTGGGATGTTTGGTGCTTGTAGCTTGTTTGACAATTTGATCAAGCTTCGGGAAGAGTATCCGAAGAAAACTAGAAGTACCTGGGCAATTCAAAGTTCGTTTTAATAAACAATCCGTGTTTGAGTAGTCTTCCTGTTGATGGGAAGGTATTCCTATCTTCGTTTTGTTTACTTCGTAAAAGGGAGCTGGGAGAAGAAAGCGATAAGAGAACGATAAGGTGCGGGGTGGTAGCGATGCGATGAAGAACCAGCCAAGCCAACCGAGCCAGCCAATCACCGAAAACACTTACAAATAAGACATTCCCAACACACTGGTGCGTGAGCCACAATAATTTCAAGTTCCGCCCTGGATCTCGGGAGGCTTCAACAAGCTCTTCATTTGCGGTTGCATTTTTGGTGTCAAGATTCATAACAAGACTGCTCGCCGACATTACAGAATTCAATTGCACACTATCGTGCTTTAGTAGTCTCCTAGCTGCTGACATTTGCCAATGACTTACAAGTGTAAACAAGGCACTGAGTTGAACACAGGGTTACTGTTCAAACAATATTGTCGGCAATGGAGGGACATTGAACTGCAAAGGTATCCATCTATGAATGATGATGAACATGCACACAGTCATTTGGCATAGTAGCAAGTACAAGTCCTTGCGAATACGTGGGAACCAACAGTAAAAGAGCTTGTCGACTCGTATCGTCCGGTCTGGTCGGTCGACACAGTATGAGCCGCGCGCTTGAAACAGAATGACCAGACTTCGGCCGGTTCCCATCTCGCATCCTGCGCTGCAGTGCAGACTTTTGTTTTTGGAAGCGCATTTCGAGATTTATATTGCAAATATCTAGATGCTTGATGTTCCTCAACTTTGATTGATATTTATGTGATACCTCTGAGGTGCAGGCACGACCGATCGTCAGAATTTGAGACTCGATTGTTTATTATGAGTGAAATTGGAGCCTACCATTTTGCTGGCGATTCTTCTTGTACAGACGAAAGAACCATTCGAGGTCAACCCACATGGTCGGTAGCAGAGGATGCTTTCGTTTTACCTGAGGCAGCCTAAGACCACATTGAACCTCAACTCTTCCTATCAAAGTTTCGTACAATATAGCCAATCCTACCCCCTATAATATACGGTCGATGTCCCGATTGCAGAGACCTAGTGCTTCATGGCTAAAATAATACACCATCGATGGGGATGCTGGCTTCTAATGCCATTCTTAGTCCCATGCACATGTTATAGGAGAAGCTGGCCGGGGCAATCCCATGTAGCTTTTCAAAAGAATTATACCTTGACTTTATCGCGGCCGCAGGGTCAGTGAACCCTTGGGGCAATCATTGCGCCACCAGGATCAATGGGGGACAGCCATGTAATCTGAATGTAAGCAGGTCTCTAAGCTTAATTGGAGGCCGAATACACAAGAACCGCGAAGCCCAATTTGAAGGTCTTGTTGGAAAAACCTGTGCCTAATATAATGTTAGATCAATACACCTTCGCATCTTCCTTTTCAAGCATAATTTATCTGCAACCCCAGAATCTACAGTGTCGAACAAAGTAGCCCCTAGCACTAAATACTTTCGACATGTCGTCGCATCATGATGCTAGCAAGCCTGATGCTAGCAAGCCTAGTGCTAGAATCGAGAAAATCAAGAGTGGTGTTACTTCACCATGTGAGTTGCTTCCCCAGCGAGCTACACAGCCGGAAATCTATCAGAGGAGTTCGTCTAACACAAATCTTTAGATAAATTCAGAGACTACGACTTGCAGGTCCTGAATAACTGCACAGTAGAACTGGATGTGGCGACCTTAGATAATTTATTTCGCGACTATTTCTCAAATGATTCTCATGATTCTCATGAAAAAGAAGTAAGCCACAATTGGAAACTCTCTCAGGCCTCAATCCTCAATTCTCAATCCTCCATCTCAACTACTTGATAACTTCAACCCCCTAACTCTATCATTACTTCTATTAACCAACCAACGTTTTAGTGGGCCTATTGGCGAATAACAGAAGAGAGGAATAGAAATGAAGAACCAACTTTTCCATTTCAAGATATAATCCTACTTGTAAGAAAATGCCGTGTAAGTTCATCTTATATTTCAAAACGCCAACTGCTTTCTATATAGTATAAGCGTCTACTGACAAATAACGAAGACCACACGTCGAGCAACAAGAAAGTTTGGATTACCAATTTAATGCCGGCGACCAAAATTACCAAACGGTACGTGATCGACTTGAAAGTGACAGTGGATTCAACGCATTTGTAGAAAACGAAAAGCCACTGGAAACTTGATTGGGACAAGGAGAAGCGTCAGCTTACCCTTTGAGGAAATGATTAATGGCAAAACCAAAGGGAAGAGAACACTCCCGATCCCGCTCCCGCTACAAGAGACCGGAGAGCGAGACTGTCAATGAAGATTCAAGTAGCACTTCTGGCGACGATACCTTGGGGATCAGGAAAATTCGCTCGCATAGATCAATGCCAAGGTCCTTTTCCTGGCTATACACATTCACTTGTCGAAAGCCAAAATTCGGAGATGAAGTGGAGTGGTAGACCCGAACCGATCAGTCCCTTTGTCTTTGTCCATAGGTATCACAAACAGGATCGAACTGTTCCATGTAAGTTATTGCTCTCGTATTGGTATATCTTGGAAGTTTACTGAAATTGTATCATAGACTACGGATATTACCTGACAAATAGTACACGATTTGGTCTATGGTGGGATGAAATAGTCGATATATTACTCTCAAAAAAAATCATCAAACCCCCAGCGCGGAAAGGACCGAAGGAGAAAAGGCAGACTCATCGAGGAAGGCCAAAATGATAATGAGTCAATTTGGTCCTGGCTCAGTTAACTCCGAAGCAGGTATGAAATATTCTGTATCAAAAATCTCCAATCTATGTGATGCAGTTCGTGGAACTCCAAAAGATTCATGTACCCATGAAAGATACAGGGTCAGGACTTGTAAGTATTCGAACCCTGCGACTCAAGGTTATCATGTTTGTAAAAATGCTAACACATTGCTAAGATTCGCTTCTGGAATACAAAAACGGTACTACGGTCGACGAACAATACCCCTCGATATCTATTCGTAATAGACTTAGGAATAAAGTCGCATATAAGAGTGTCCTAAGCGGACTTGGCAAATTACTAAAAGAACCAGGTGGAAACGTCATATTGGCCAAAAACAAAGGTGAAATATGGAAACTCGTCAGAAAAGTGATGGAACCTATCTCTCGAAACCGAACGCCTTACGACTCCGCATAACAATACATCCACTTGCAAAGCGTCAATCGGACACTTCGTCAAGCGGACATTATTCTTCTAGCGACGAATCACAAAGAAGTAGAAGGCCCGACTCATACTCTGCTCATAGAAGCTCTCCTAGTGTTAGCCGTCGTGACAGCAGTAACCAGGACAGAGCATCAACGAAAACGGAACTTCATCCTTTCGTGCCAGAAGTTCTGCACACTCGGCACACGAGGAAGTCTCGCACTCTCAGCACACGAGGCACGTATCAGAAACCTCCCCGACTACAACGAAAGTCGCGAACCACACAGAGCTGCCACCTCAGGCGTGGAGTCAGATGTCGTGCGACAAGATATCTCTTTTTTCCTCCTCCAACAGCCGGTCATGGGAGTGTAGCCTCAAGTAATACATTCACATTCACACGCACAACAAACACAGCAGAGCTGAAGAAAGAGATCGGAAACCTCAAAATTTAAGGTGGCGAGTTTTTTTGGCAACAGACGGGAGAAAAAGCACGAGCGGAAAGAGGAAAAGCTGGCGAAGAAAAAGAGGAAGGATGAAGAGCGGGAAGAGAAAAGGGAACCGAGGATGGAAAGAAGGCTGATGAGTAATAGAGGGGATCATTCGGATCGGGAATGGAATGATGGGCGTGGAGAGAGGGCGAGGGAATCCTCGTCTAAGAGGAAGTTGAAGATTGAGTTCTCTTATCAGGGGGCGTGGGAGAAGATAGAGGGAAAGTAATGTAGTGGGTATTTTGAAGAGGTTTGCTTTGCTTATCTTTGTTGTTATTGTCATTTTAATTCTGGTTTTTTTTTTTTGAGATTTAGTGCAGTCTTTGGAAATTTTGTAGTTATTTATATCTGTTTCTGTTTCTATCTCTGTTCCCGTTCTAAAATATATAATTCCCCTCATACTCAATCTTTTCTATTCTTTCTACGAGTATATAAGTATACATCCTCCCATACTCCGCATACTCCGCAGACTCCGCATAAAATACACACAATACACACAATACACACAATACACACATACACACAATACACACATACACCATACACACAATACACACAATACACACAATACACACAATACACACAATACACACATACACACAATACCCAATACACACAATACAATACACACAATACACACAATACACACAATACACACAATCACACAATACACACAATACACACAATACACACAATACACACAATACACACAATACACACAATACACAATACCATACACAAATACACACAATACACAACAATACACACAATACATACAATACTACCACCCCCCCCCAACTTCCCACAGAAATAAATGAGAAAATTCAATTCGATGAATCCACCTAGATATATATTAGATCGACATTCAGTTTTTGTAGAGGGCGAGGGATTTATATACACGCGAGAGTGGATATGTAATTTTATATTATATGTATCTATCTGGTCTACCGATCTACTAATGTATATATATCTATCTATCTATCTACCTATAACTTACATTCATGTTCATACGCATGTAATTATAACATTCCACTGCATGCTAGAAGATTCATGTTATTACAGGGTTTTTAGTCACTCATTCACTTACTCCACTTACTCACTTACTCACTTACTCACTTACTCACCTTACTCACTTACCTCACTTCTCACTTACTCACTTACTCACTTACTCACTTACTCACTTACTCACTTACTCACTTACTCACTTACTCACTTATTCACTTACTTATTCATTTACTTACTTACTTACTCATTTACTCATTCACTCATTTATTACTCATTTATTCATTTAATTTACTTATTCATTTATTCATTTATTTACTTATGTTATTTACTCATTTATTTACTCATTTATTTAACTCATTTACTCACTCATTTACTCACTCACTCACTCACTTACTGCATGCATGTATACGGTATGTAACTTGTGCGCTCGGGTAGCTCGGGTAGAATGTAAGACTATACGATGAGTAGGCCATTTGTAATTTATAATTTATAATTCATAATTCATAATTTGTTTTGCGTAGGTATCAGAAATGGGATTTATGATGGGACATCAAAGTTCGAATATTGTGGAAATAGAAATGGAATTTGGATAGGGGTATGAATAGAAAGAGGAGGTGGAAGAGGGATAATCGTATATCCTAATATTTACATATCCCGCAATGAACGGTTGCGGATGTACTATATAACCTATTACACCACCCTCACCTTCCATGCACCGAAAAAACAAGGGATGATACTCATACGGTTAGAAACTCTCTCTGCGTTTTAATTTTAATTCTGTAACATAACATCACATAATATATAGCCCAGCCCAGCCCAACCCAACAGCAAAATCCCCACACCAATCCAAGCAAAACAACCCCCATTAATCAATACGACATCAAAAAACTATTCACACTCTGCAACGTCGCGCGACTCGGATTCGCATCTGGCATCGAAGTAGAAATCCAGGTTAACCTCTGACGGATAAAATCTTTATTTACCAAAGCCTTTCCATTCTCTTCCTCTTCCTCTGCACTCGCAACTTTCAAATCCCCATGATCGTCGAAATACAGACAAAGAAGAGCAAGTGCAACACCTATCGAGAGATCCTGTCCAGATTCACACGCGATGATGATGTGTATAGATGCATCTGAAGATGCGTTCGCAGAATGTGTGTGGAGGTACTCGAGGAAGAAAGAAGAGATAGTTGGGAGCGCGGCGCGGAGATTCTTGCTGCCTACTTTTTTGGCGCCGAGTCCGATGTCTAGACGGGAGGGAGCGGTGTGCCATGTATCTTTTGGTGTGGTTTTTGGTAAGAGAACGATGGTGCAGGTACGGGGATTTGTGGTGAGAGGTGGAAGCGCGTCGATAGTCGAGATGGAGAGACAGGAGGTGGGGTTTACGATGCGCAGTTGACCGTTCGATCTGAGCAATGAACTGGTTTGATGTATCAAAGTGCCAATGCGTCCAGGTAAATCTTCTTCCGATGTCTCGAATAAGATTTCTTGATTGGTCCAGAAAATAGGAGGGGTAAGTCCATGAGCCCAGTTTTCTGTATCGTCACCTGCTCCTTGGATATAACCACCCTCACTGATTTCTCCGCCCGAAACCCTGCGCGAAACGGTACAACAAACAACGGGATGGAAGTCTTCAAAAATCTCGCTTGTTTCCGAGATATGAGACTCGGGAGTCACCCAAATGGGTCTGATGGGTTTGTGAATCTTCTCTCGGAAAGAGTCAATGGGGAGATTGAGAGTTTGAAATGCTTGCACAAATTGAGGAATCAGATTGGCCATTTGGGCTTGCTCGGAATCGGAAACTACTTGTGGTGGAGCGTAGAGCTTATGAGCGGTTGGAATATCAGGAAAGAAAACCCGGTTTATTACGCAACACCATATTGGGATTGTTTTGCTCAATGCATCAGGCATACCTTTTCAGCATTAGTATACTTGGAGCGAAATATAGAATCTAAGAAGTAACTAACGCTTTCCACGTCTAGTAGAATCTACAATAATACATCTGCATGGAGCTTTCAGCCTATGTTCTATGGAAACTTTACTCGAGTACAAACCCATCATATGTACCAATTATCTCTAACAGATGTAAATTCAATCTTCGGGAGCTGAATTTCCAGACTCCGGTATGGCCATCGGTACTTTTGAAGTATGCACTTCCTCCTTTCTTGCTGGGATCAATGTACCAGCTCCCACATCTCTCATTTGCTATAAGTGGTCTATGATATGCATTTGCGACCGACTGGGCGAATTCTGCGTCTTCGAGAATAGATCGAAGCCGGTTATGTATGGATAAAGTACTTCGTTTGATTTCACCCAGAGTCTTTGAGAAGTTGTGATTTGCTTGCTCATTGAAGACAATATCCGCCACTGTTAAAGGCATTTGAGATATCAGCTACTTAGCTATATGTCGCGAAACCCAGCTTAGATTTCAATATGTTGGAGGCGGGAGGGGTATCAAATTGTGTGTTGTCGGAGCTCAAAAATTCTGGTGGGGTTTCATTAATTTGGGCGGTGAGATGTGGCAAAATTAAAGATTGATCGACTTTCACACAATTCCCAAAGCCGGGAATAAACTCCTCAAAATGCTCTTATTCCCAAACGATGTATTTTGATTTCCAATTCGGATGAATGAGGATTGAAACTCTCGAGGGATTTCATAGATGTGCAACAGATGAGTTGAGAATGCAGTGTTTACCGCTTCCTGGCAAAGCAATTTCCAACCACATCACCGCTGAGTGCACAATCCATCTGCCAAGAAGCTACAGCGTTTACCGGACAATGTTCATCTTCGGATTTCACCAAATCTTATATTCTAGATCTTGTGCATTGGTTGTACACGCTACACATTTTCGAATAAATTTCCAGTACCGGAGAATGTTGGATGAAGTTTCGGTCGATCACATCAAAATCTTGAATGCTAGGAATTATTACAAGGATGCTCATAGATTGGGTTCTTTTGGAGGACATGATTGAATTTGTTGTGCATACTCCCCGTTCACCGGGAGCCCAAACAACCTGACTCGCGCGCCTCGTGTTTGAATTCTTGAATTGCATTGGATAGAGAAATTTGCTAGATGCTTGACGTTTGAATAGCTAGATGAAGTATCATGAAATTGTGTTGATCATGAAATAAGCGATGTTGTTGTCGGGCTCAGCTTACATTACCGATGTGGCCAAGATGGGAATTGTTTTTGGGAACAGCATATCGTCAGACATGTGTTGTTCGGTTATTAGATGAGAGGAGATATGATACCATCTACTATGGGGAAAGCGCCAGGTGGAAAATATCCGACCTTGTGCATACCTAGGTAGCTCTAGCATCATGTAGGTAGGGTCTCCTGCATCCGCAAAGACTCAGCCTAGAATGATGACTAATCTATTGTGCCTTGAGAGTGTACCACCAGCTCATGCGATCTTTGACTGGAAAGGGAAAGGCGACACATTTGACGGATGGGCTGCCATATGAACATTGATAGACGAGGTGGATGAGATCAGCGATCTGTGGAGTCCCCTATTCGGCTTCATGTGCGAAAGACTTGGAGATTATGGTGCTTCGTGAAGCAATGTGTCGAGAGAGCACAGCATGATATCCCAAAGATGTAATATGTTTCGCCAGCTGTTCTCGCTGGAGTTTGTTGGATATTAACAAGATCATCTTCGGCTGTTGAGGAGACTACCCCTTCAACCACCCGTCGGTAATGTTGAGCTCAACAGTAGAGTTTCTACCCCTTTAATTATCAAAAATTGACCGTCACAAGACCAAGAAAAAAAAATCTTAAGGTTGGGTTGCATACGCACTGTACCTTACAACTACTGTAGGTAAATGATTTCCCAGCTTGAATGGGCACTCTGCAGCAGCTGGAAAGACTCCCACGCCATTCTATGGAGTCTGATAAATCTATCACGCATAGCGGTACCGGAAATCAGGAGCCGACTAGCACAGTAGTATCAGCGTGGGGGTCCATTTAATTGCAGATGCAAGAAGTTGATCAAAAGAAAAGTACGAAGAGATGAACATCTTTTTATCTGATCTTTTGAAGAATATCTTCTCCTGGACACCAGGTGTTCCGAGTAGCCGCAAGCGAGGAGGTGAAGAAAGTACCTAGTATGTATGTATGTTGTTGGGTTGGTTGTGTTGAAGTGAAGTAGAAGTGCAAGATCTCGGGCCGTCAATGATATTATCAATGTGGGGGGTGGATGGAGCGAATGGAGAGAAGAGTGGGGAAGTGAGTGGGGAAGATTCTCACCGCCAAGGGGTGAAGCTTGGCAGAAAAAAAGATGAATAGATCAATCAAAGGAATGATGTGTATTAGATGGCTGGGATGAGCGAGTGACGTATGTTTTTGCTCTGTGTGCCGACTGATGAAAGATTTTATACCGGGACTCTTTTTTCCATACCGACCATGACATTAATGCAGAGTGTGCACCAATGCGAGTGTGCAAGATGTGCATGGTATTGTGGTATTATGTATGGTATTATGGTATGTATGGCGGATAAAAGATGAAAAGGTCAAGGGAACCTTAGGTTGTTGAATGTTTCAATGTTTTGCCAATGAAATGATACTTTATGAACAGATGATAACTATCTCGGTATGGGCATGGGTATGGATGAGTATGGATACATCGTAGAATAAAAAGGTTTATAGCAAAACTTCATTCATTGCTAGGATCTCTCCATCCCTGGCCAAGATAGCTACCTCCTCTCGACTCTGCACACCTATCGTACATTATTCATGAATGAATGAGCACACCTTGGTAAGGAAGAAGGCAAAATCATCCTTGCCTTAGGTTCCATCTAGAATGCATCCAATCAAATTGATCAATCTTCCAACTTCAGTCCTATGAATATTTGACCTCTTCCTCTTCCTCTTCCTTTCAGATACGATACGATACGATACGTACAATATTAATAAATATCATATTCTCCCCCAAGAATGAGATTCAAACACTCAACACCTTTTTCCTCCTCTTCTCTCTTCTTCTCTTCCTTCCACTTGGCAAACAAAATAACATTCCCACACTTCTCCTTCTACGCCGCCATCAATCCGGAGCAAAACTTGCTTTATCACTTAAAATAATTAGAAGTGGAGGCTTCCCAAGGTCTTGGCATCTTGGGCTAGAATTAATCGTGTATGGGTAGTGAGAAAGTAAACAACCCTTTCACTCAATCTCTTCGCTTTCTTTCAAACAATAATTTTTTGAATTTACTTCGAAAATAATCATCATCTCAAAAGCAACATCTGCGAAACCGAGCGGCACAATTCTACGTGCTTTCCGATCATTACAAAAAAGGTGTCGGGGACCTCGGGAGGAAGAGCCAACATACATTAATAAACGGCGGAGCGGCGACTGGGCGCGACCAGATTTCGAATGCTGCGAAATCACGCAATACTTTTGAGGGAATCGACTGATTGGGGTATAACGAGCAGAGACAATCCAATCGATTGAGCTACAATATTTCCCCTCCCCCGCCGTCGACAGTGCCTTTTCGCTAGCACGATATCGTTACCGATACCAATCGATTGCGATTGTTCTAATACATAATCTATACCGATCGACAACCATCTAAGACAGCCAAGATGGCTTGGGATCACCTCTCCATCAACAAACCTCATTTGGTTTATATAATTTTGGGTGGCTTCACCTCATTGTTTATGCTGTGTTCTTCCTTCATCAAGGAGCGCATGTATATCGGTGAAGCCACTGTCGCCACGATTTGTGGTATTATTTTTGGACCACATGCCGCCAATCTGATCGATCCCGACACGTGGGGCAATACCGATCAGATCACTCTAGAATTCTCACGAATTGTCCTTGTTGTTCAATGTTTTGCCGTCGGGGTCGAATTGCCTAGGCATTACATGGAGAAACATTGGAGGAGTGTAGTCTTTCTCTTGTTACCTGTGATGACCTTTGGATGGTTGATCACAAGTCTTTTCATTTGGTGGTTGATTCCGCCGCTAAACTGGCTGCAGGGACTTTGTGTGGCAGCATGTGTGACGGCGACAGATCCTGTACTCGCTAGTTCGGTGGTTGGAAAAGGAAAATTCGCAAAACGAGTACCGAAACATTTGAGAGATCTTCTATCTGCCGAATCAGGGTGTAACGATGGAATGGCATTCCCATTTATCTACCTTTCCTTATATTTGATTCGATTTCACCTCAATGCGAAAGAAGTCACATTTGATTTCATTGTCATAACAGTTCTTTACGAGTGTGTGTTTGGTGCGATTTATGGTTTCGTTGTCGGATACATTGGCAGGCACGGAATCAAATATGCGGAAAGACACGATTTAGTCGACAGAGAGAGTTTTCTCGTGTTCTACTTCGTCCTTGCTCTATTCTGCGCAGGCTCAGGGAGTATCCTTGGAGTTGATGATCTCCTTGTCGGCTTTGCGGCTGGCGTTGGTTTCTCAAACGACGGTTGGTTTACCCAGAAAACCGAAGAATCTCATGTTTCCAACGTCATAGATCTCCTTATCAATTTGGCATATTTTGTTTACCTTGGTACAATTATTCCGTGGGAACAGTACAATGATATGGAAATCTGAACTTCACCATGGAGGCTCGCTGTCATCGCTATCTTGTTCATTTTCTTTCGACGAATACCAGTCATGATGGCACTAAAACCTCTGATACCCGACATAAAAACTTGGCGAGAAGCTCTGTTTGCTGGCCACTTCGGACCTATTGGAGTGGGTGCCATCTTTGTTGCTATTCTTGCGAGAGCCGAGCTTGAGACTGACACTACAACTCCATTAACTGAGTACCCTGACCGAGATGCACCGAACTGGGAATTGGTAACGGTAATTTGGCCAATTGTAACCTTTCTTGTTATTTCCTCTATTATCGTGCATGGATCCTCTATTGCCGTCTTTACCCTAGGCAAACATATCAATACCCTGACACTCACAATGTCCTACACCCAAGCCGGGGACGATGGACCCTCTTGGATGAATCGTCTCCCTCGCATCTCGTCGATTTCGAGATCTCAAGCTAAGACAGCAGGCTCGGAGACTGATGGCGAGGATATGAGACTGGATGAATTACCGCCAGGTACCCTGCCACCCGCAGGAGGAATTCCTGGAGGCTTCTTGCGCCGTCAAAAGGAGGAGGATAATCCAAGTCGGGCCAACAGTCGTCCTTCTTCGATAATTCCGCGACGCAGAAAGAAGAAGTGGGACGATGGAGTAGGACCAGGGGGTCCTATCAGCGAGTCGGCCATTTATCCTGCTCGACGAAGTCGCGATTACTCAACTGGACATACATCTGATACATTAACGCCTGGCGAATCTTCGCCCGATAACGAGAAAGCAAACATTGATGACGAGTCAAATGAAGGTGAACTTGGAGAAGTCCAGCACGATCCAGAGATGGAAGAAATCATGCATCATGGCGAGAAGCAAAGGCGACATGATGAGCACATGTCAGATGCTCAACGCAACCCTGACAAGGCGGAAGTTTATGACGAAGGCGATCATATCATAATCGAAAACGAAGACGGCGATGTATTGAAAACCCTCAAAAGTCCAGAAGCCGGGACCCCCCGGGAAGAATTTGAGAATCTCGAAAAGGGAGTCAAGCAAGGGCCAGGGAAAGCCTACAAAAAGTTTGGTAAGATCATGGGTGTTTGGAGGAACAAAGACGAGGCCAAGGAGCATAGCGAAGGAGAAGGTTCCAAGGGGAAGAAAGGAAAGGAGCCTCGCAAGACTCGAGGTCCAGCACTGGCTTATCAGTATGGTAGATCTGTAAGACTATCTTTTTCCCTTTAGGTTGATACGATCCAGTCACTAATGAATTCATAGATTATTGTCGAAGATGAAGATGGAGAAGTCGTCAAAACATACGAATTACCGCCCGACCCTAACAGCAAAGCCCCTAAGTCCGGCGAACCTAATGCTGTTCGCCAAGGAATAAACCGTATGGGTACATGGACAGGACTTGGTGGCAACAAGGTAGACAACTCTACCAAGACAGATGCTACAAGTGCAGAACCAGTCCGACAAGGCATAACTCGAATGGGCACATGGAATTTTGGCAAGAATACACCAAACACTGAAAACAAAGAAGCTGAAGAAGAAGATGATGATCGTCGTATTCGATTCACTATTGGAGGAGCAGGACGCCGTCTAACTAAGGAAGATTTCTTGAAAGAAATTCAAGGTTTAGATCCCAAAGCAAGATGTGAGATTGTCGAAGAAAGTGATGCACCCAGGGCGATGAAGGACTTGGCAAAGAGAGACGCCAGTGATAAAATAAAAGGGAGCTCACGATTGTTTGAAGCTCAAGATACACAACTTGCTGCTGGTTCACAAACTGCACGGGTGGTTGGAAGCAAAATGGCCAAGGCACAGGGCGCTAGAATTGACGCAATCACAGAAAGCAGCCCAGCAGGAAGCAGCAAGAATGATGTACCTGAGACAGCTGCAGAAAGGAGAAGAAGACATGACGCTTTGAAAGGAGTAGAGGAAGATGAAGAGACAGATGAAGCTAGAGGACGGGGAAGGGGACGTGGACGTTCTCCTAGTCGTGGCGGTAACGGTCCAGAAGAAAAAGAAACGCCAGCAGAAAAGCGAAGACGGGAAGCAGCTCTTGGAGAAAGCGTACAGAGCGATAGTGATGATGACGATACTCCGAGAGTGCCACCACCAGCTGTACGCAGCAGGGGTATTAGATTCGCGCAGAGTCCTGTGAGAGGAAAGAAGTAGTTATGGATATATTATGTACATGCCGGCGGATTTTTAATGTTTTTCAAAAGGAGTTGATCTCATGTTACCATATTGTTGGGGAAGAAATAACGGCTTTACTTGATAATGTTGCTACGAAAATCTTGAGATGATACCTATGTAGATGAGCAAACTGGCATTTTCGGAATCATGATTGTTGGGTGTTGGGTAATTTTGAATGGGTGGTTATACATAGCATATGGATTAACGTCATAGAATGATAGAATATTGAATTAGATGGATAGTTATGGGTGATGTGAAAAAAGATGTGATCGACTATGACATGTATCTGTGTTACTGTGTGGGTTACTGTGTGGATGTGGCGGTCTTAATTTGAGGTTATACTCGGAGTGATGATGATGGTTAAATGGGTAATATGGACAACGCAGTTAATGTGTGAATGGAAGAGGATTTCTAGGTTGGTACTTAAAAGTCTTTATTGTGACTCTTCAGAGTTTTCTATCCATTATTATTTATATTTCATCCAGTAGATTCGACATCTTTTTGAAAAATTTCGACGAAAGTTTGTTGTCGTCATTGATGGACAAGGATACCTTGACCAATTAGCATCGTTATCGATTTTATTGGACCCCCACGCGCCTCTTAAATTGCCGAGCAAGTTGAACGAAGAATCATGCGAATTTCGCCTTCAAAAGTTTCATGCTATCAACAACAAGCCACACCTTTCTAAGAATACAGACTGACATCAATTTACGAATGGTCGGCATCTTACAATCATGAGTCAAAATAATAGAAAAGGAAAGGGAAAGGGCAGAGGTGGACAAGCAGGTTCCGGCGACAATTCTAATAGCAATACACCAAATGGTGGTCGACCACAATATATGACTGTTGGACCTGGAAGTGCACCGGAAAGTGCTGCAAGATTACAAGCGCTCCTTGACAATGATTCTGGGTATGGAGGCAGTGTAGCTGGCGAAAGCTCGAATGGGGTTCCATCATGGAATCCTACACTGACACCGGATAGACCTACTCCTCCACCCTCTTCCCTTCCTCGAGGACAATCGAACGAAGTTTCTGAAAACGAGAGACGGTCGCAGGCAAATGCAATACATCAACTATGGTACAATCAACATCGGGTCACTCTTGGTAGATCAATCAATCGTGTGGTGGAAACTTTGAAGTCGTTGCAGGAAATGAACGCACAATGGCCAGCAATCTACCCCTCAGTTCAGCGCGAAGAATCTCAACATCATCGACAGGACCCACGGCCAGGTTTGGTACATACGCAGACTGGTATCAGTTCATCAACACCTGAACCTCGTCCTGGACAAGTGCGACGTGCTATGACATCTATTGGTGAGGATAGCAGTAATGCGGAGTCGAGTCAAGCTGCGGAATCAAGATCAACTCCGGAACCCCGACTTGTAACACCACAGATCGCACAGGAGTTTTCCATCTTGAAGTTGGATTTGAAGTTGGGATCCTTACATCAAACCGAGTTGGTACATTCTTTGGAAAAGGCTTCGATCGCATCTCTGCTTGATGGAAAAATTAGTTCGAGCATAAATCATTTACTCTCACTACGAGAACGGATCGAAGATTCTTCGAGTAAAGTTCTAGTGACGGGAGACTTAAACACCGGAAAATCGACATTCTGCAATGCACTTCTGCGACGAAAGATTTTACCAGAGGATCAACAACCTTGCACGAGTATATTCTGTGAGGTTTTGGATGCGAGAGAAAATGGAGGAATCGAAGAAGTACATGCGGTACACAAGGAAACTATCTACGATCGACATGACGAAAGCACTTTTGACGTTTACACGATTCAAGATTTGGAGCAGCTAGTCCTTGATAATGATACCTACACACAATGCAAAGTCTATGTCAAGGATGTACGCACGATTGACGAGTCCTTACTAAACAATGGAGTGGTGGATATTGCAATCATCGATGCGCCTGGTCTCAACTTGGATACTACGAAAACAACTGCGGTGTTTGCTCGACAGGAAGAAATTGATGTAGTCGTCTTCGTTGTCTCGGCGGCCAACCACTTTACACAAACTGCGCGAGAATTTATTTGGGCGGCAGCGGCGGAAAAAGCATATATTTTTATGGTTGTCAATGGATATGATAATATTAGGGATAAGGAACGATGCCAAAAAATGATTTTGGAGCAAATTCAAGGTTTAAGTCCTAGAACTTTCAAGGAATCCTCTGAACTCGTTCATTTCGTATCGAGTAATGCTATTCCTACTGCTGCACTTGGCCCTCCTGGTCCACCGGGTGGAAGTGGTGGCGGAAGCAGTAGTTCTAGTGGAGGTGGCGGTGATGGACCGGACTTCGATGATGGCTCAGATCCGAAAGGAAAGGGCAAAGGCAAGGACAAGGAAAAGATTAGAGACTTCGAGATTCTTGAACAGTCACTGCGTCGATTTGTTCTCGAGAAGCGAGCTAGATCCAAGTTGGCTCCAGCAAAGACTTACTTACTCAATGTTCTAAGTGATATTCAAAGTCTTGCCACTGTCAATGCAGAGGTTGCACAATCCGAATTGGATCGTGTTACCAAGGAATTAGCAGATATCGAGCCAATGCTCGAGGCTTCTCAAAAGGCGAAGGCCGAAGTCAGCGATGATATTGACCGAACTATTGATGCAACATGCAAGAGTATCTATGATTACACTCGCTCAACACTTAACGACACAATAGCTAGAACAGCTGATGACGATCTTGGTATTCCATATCCAGGACTATTCGGTGCTTTCCAGTATGCCGATGACATCAAAGAAGCTATCATGTCCGAAATATCTGCTACAGTCTCCGCCTGTGAAGAACATGCACGTCGTAAGACAGTTGATGGCGTAACACAGATCAAGCAACTTGGCATCTTACATCTCGGTGATGAGTATACAGACTTGAGCTTTAGAAGCGACATTATGTTCAAGCGCAAGCGCGATATTCTTGCCAAGCATCTTGATATTGAGACTGAGTTGTGGGATTTCTTTGATTTCTCCACTCTACTTCAACGACAAGAGAAGATGGCTGGAACTGGTATGGCAATGACTGTTGCCACCGTTCTTGGTAGTCGTGCAATTGGCGGATTTGGATGGGTTGACGGTGCTTTGTCTGCCGCAAAGATTATGGGTAACAATAATTTGCGTAGATTGGTCGTGCCAGGAATTTTAGCAGGAGGTATGTGTTGCATGATTCTACGTTGTATATTCTTACTAAATTTTTCTAGCTATCGCTGTAGCTTACTACGTCCTGAACCAAATTCCCCAGTCACTTCCACATCGCCTCTCTTCCAAGATCTCTACTCAACTTTCCGCAATTGATTACGTACACTCCAATAGTGATCGCATTTCATCGTCAGTACGCAAGGTTCTTCGATTCCCTGCCGATAATCTTCGAGTTGGTCTTCAACGTTCCGTTGAACAACTTGGTACCAAGCGTGAAGAGACCAGAAAGATCAGAGGCGAAAGCGAAGTTGCTAGAAAATATTTTGGCAACTTGGTCAACAAAAGTGCGGAAATCAGAAATAATGTCGAGAGTGTGGATTTGGAGGGACCAGCTCCAGGAGTGGCTGCTGCATACGATGCTTAGATTCTTTGTTATACCCCAATATCTCTTTTTCTTCTTATGCGTCGATGACTGCTTTCTCAGATGAATAAAAAATGGCGTTTTCTGAGCAATTTATTTTTAAAGACAATTAGGGATGGATTGCTGGAACAGGTGATGGATGGGTGGTGATGTGGAAAATGGAAATATGAGTGGCGTTGGTCGTAAGCTTTAGGATTGATTGTATGGCGTACCTAGCTACTTCGGACTCCCCTCTCCACTTACTTTACTCAGTAGAAAAGAAAAGAAAGTAATATCATGCATTAAATATGTCATATGTGAGATGTGAGTTTGCAATACTGCCTCTGGTGAGCTTGTTGCCAGGTATATCAGTGCATGGTGAGCTTCCTAGATGAGTGGAATTCCCGGTGAGCTTTTTCCAAATGATTTAGGACTTTTCCAAGCTTAGCTTCAGCGCTCATAGCCCATATATCACTCCCAGTGAGCATGTCTTCAGATTTCAGTTGCATCAAACGAGGATACAGAATTATGGGCCTTAAATATCAGGGTACATTTTAGCCAAGGCTGCTAAGATCCAAGGCTACGATTCTGGAAACGAAGCCGGACCATTACTACATGACGACTTGCGCGGCTGCATCGAACACACACCATCATATAATCCAAATTAATTCACCAACCTTCCCACCTTTCTCCAATTCCCTTGTTCCTTCAATCCCCATAAACACTTCCAGTCGCAACCATGAATGTATGTACTTCTCTTATCACCCTCAAGCTCCCCCACTAACCATTCCCCTTCCAGATCGTCGAATGGGCATTTGGCAAGCGCATGACGCCTGCGGAGCGACTGCGCAAACACCAGCGATCTCTGGAAAAAACACAACGGGAACTCGATCGCGAGCGAACGAAGTTGGAGAACCAGGAAAAGAAATTGATTCAGGAGATTAAAAAGAGTGCGAAGAATGGACAGATGGGGGCGGCGAAGATTCAGGCAAAGGATTTGGTTAGGACGAGGAGATATGTGGAGAAGTTTTATAGTATGAGGACTCAGTTGCAGGCGATTAGTTTGAGGATACAGGTATGTGTTTTTTTAATTTGTTCTTGGGTTTTTCTTTTTAGGGGGGCTTGGGGAGGAGGGGTCTTGGGAGGTGTTTTGGGATGGGGGGAGGAAGAGGGAAGAGAGTGATTGAGAGAGAGTGAGTACTGATTTATTGAAATAGACGGTACGAACAAATGAACAAATGATGCAAGCCATGAAAGGCGCAACGGGCGTTCTAGGCAGCATGAACCGAAGCATGAACCTCCCCGCGCTCCAAAGAATCGCGATGGAATTCGAAAAGGAAAATGATATTATGGATCAGCGACAAGAAATGATGGATGATGCGATTGATGATGTCACGGGACTGGAAGATGAGGAGGAGGGCGAGGAAGTCGTCGAACAGGTTTTGGAAGAAATTGGAATCGATTTGAAAGCGGCGATGGGGGAGACGCCCCAGGGATTGCAGAGTCAGACGGTGGCGGAGGGGAGGGTGGCTCAGGCTGTTGGGGGTGGTGGGGGGGTTGGGGCGGCGGATCCGGGAGATGATGATTTGCAGGCGAGATTGGATAGTTTGAGGAGGGATTGAGTGGGGGTTTTTGATTGATTGATTGATCTATTGATTAGGGGGGAAGGGGTTAGGGGGGAAGGGGTGGAGGGAGGGGTGGAAATTTATGGAATGAGGTCACATGCAAATCCAATTCTGCAAAGGAGAATGATCATCTGTCGGTATGGAAATTGCTATGGAAATCGAAATGGACAGATGAAATATCGAGTGGAAAGAGTACATGATGTTTGGTCGATCCATACATACTCTAGACTCATGATTCTTTCATCGGCGTTACTCGCAGGATTGTGGAAGGCGTTTCATAGGGGTTGTGGTTTGGGTCTGGTTTGGTCTGGTAGGATGGACTTGCAGATTTTTATTTTTATTTTTTATTTTTATTTGATTTTTTCACTCATGATCGTTTGTTTATCTATCTAGCTGACTGGCTGACTGACTGTCTTTTTCAATGCGTAAACGTAAATGAGAAGGAGCTTATGAGGATGAGAATGAGGATTGAGTGTATGATGTGCAATGCCATTTCGAGGTCACTTGCTGGGTGTTTGTAGTTTGAAGATTGGAGATGTGTGTGTGTATGTGTATATCTTTTTGCCTTGAAGAGGAATATGCTTAAAGAAGCTGGAGGACTGAGAATGATTGTACTGTACTATGATTATCTTTTCGGGATAGAAATACCTACTTACCTGATAGGATCTCATCTAGATGTTCTTTGTGTTATATAAAAGAAACGGAGATTCTGTCGTATTTCTAGATTTCCCCAGACTTCTCCTCTCGTTTCATTCATCCATCCAATACTAATAATCCTTCCCACTTTGGATTCTTTCTTTGCGGTCTGGAGTACCCGTGGACCTATCTAGTCATAAGATCTCCATGTTGCCGAATCAAGAGGGAGATCTGAAGTATCTACCGAGTAGTCATCGATAAATAGATTGATATGTACCTATGTAGATTGATGAATCATCGTGTCTAATTGCAATTTCCAATGAGGAATACTGGTAGTACTTGTGGACATAAAGGTTATTCTCATTAGTACTTCCTCGGATTCGATGGATTTCTTTGTATCAAAGTGTATTTATACCTTGTGCTTGAAAAGTATTAACACCATAGAGAATTTATAAGTTGGATTTATATTATATTTATATTTATACTTACTTATATTTATATTTATATTCAATCAATCTTTATCCAAATCCCAGCACCGTGGTCCTTTGTATGATCAGAGTGGATATATTATATTACATCTTATATTACATGTCGATATTACCTGGTCTCTGGTGTGCGTATCTAATACCCAATTACCCAATTACCCAAATACCCCACGAACCGACCGCAAAAACGATGTCATGGGTGAGGAAATGGTGATCCAAGCTAATTAACTCCCAGTCAGTCTTAACTCAAGTCAAGTCAAGTCAAGTCAAGTCAAGTCAACTCAACCCAGGAACAAGAACAAGAACAAGAACCATAACTCAGTCATACCCAAATTCAATTCAATTCAATTCAATTCAATTTAACCCCAACTCAACTTCCATTGTACTTCTCAGATTAATCACATTTCATCCCCAATATTGAAATCTTTACGAATCATCATCCTATTCATTGTCTGGTCATATTACAAAGTCAACTACTACCTACCTACATCTTGAGGGCGAAGCAAACAAGCTACCTCACAAACAAATCAGAGCAAGAACGATAAATTCACACAACAAACGAACCTTCTTCCTTCCTTCAATAACAACTGTCGGTCTCTTTACGAGACACTTTTATTTAAATCAAACAAACTGGCAGGAAATAAGAGGAGGAGCTTTTCCTCCCAAGGAGGTCTGCTCAACAGAATGTTTGGCAGCTCAAGTTCCCCACCAAAAGATTCATCCTTAGCTTCCACCACAACTCCTCCCACCTCTTCCGAGTCGAGCGCCGATTCATCAACAGGTCTCAATAATCAAGGCGATGCATCAACCGCTTTGAAAGCTCTCGATGGTGAGACTGGGACATCCGAAAAACGTAGCGGGAATGGTAGTCCCCCAGGTCGCGCAATCCCCGGCGATGGTTCTGGAGAGAAGAAACGCCGGAGTAGCGGGGTCGGCGGTAAAGCCAGCTCGTTACTTGCCAGTGCCAAAAATTCATTGCACTTTAGTCAGAGTCCTAATTCTTCCGGATTCATGTCTGGTGGTCGATCGAACGATGTAGTACAAACGCCCTTGCAAAAGCTGGGAAAACAAGATCCGGCCTTGACGGTTCCTCAAGGTCAGCATAATAATTCGGCGGGAGAATCTCGTCCCGGTCCTCGATCGACATTCAAAGTCGGGGTTTGGGAAGATAAAAATAAGAAATGTCGTCGCACGATGGAGGATACTCATGCTTTCCTGTATAACTTCTTACATACACCTGCACCTGTGGTGGGTGCCGATTCGAGCTCAAAGTCGGAAAAGTCAGATAAAGTCGCAAGTGATTCATCAGATAGTCTTGCTCGGCCGGTATCCGCACAATCCATGATGGAGACAGATAATGGTTATTTTGCAATCTTCGATGGTCATGCAGGTACATTTGCTGCAGATTGGTGTGGAAAGAAACTACATCTCATTTTGGAAGAGACTATACGAAAGAATCCGAATACACCGATTCCCGAACTTCTCGATCAAACCTTTACAACTGTCGATGCGCAGTTGGAGAAATTACCTTTGAAAAACAGTGGTTGTACTGCCGTTACTGCGGTTCTTCGTTGGGAGGATAGGATACCAAACGCTTCATCTGCCACGGGTTCTACAGCCATTGCACCTGTGACCGCTGCTGCCGTTAAAGCCGCTGAAGAAACACCAAAGACTGAAGATGGTGGTGCAGATTCGAAATCCACATCACAACAGCCAAAGGCCGGTTTGAATGCCCCTACTGGAGACGTTCAGGCAAAACTCAAAAGTACTTCTTCTCGTGCTAGAGTATTGTACACAGCTAATGTTGGAGATGCACGTATTGTATTGTGCCGTAATGGCAAAGCTTTACGTCTATCTTATGATCATAAGGGTAGTGATGAGAATGAAGGAAAACGTGTTGCAAATGCAGGTGGTTTGATCCTCAATAATCGTGTCAATGGTGTTTTGGCAGTCACTCGTGCATTGGGAGATGCGTATATGAAGGACTTGGTTACGGGTCATCCATATACGACTGAAACTGTTATACAACCTGATAGTGATGAATTCATCATCTTGGCTTGTGATGGTGTAAGTATCTTTCTAATTGTCTGTAAAGAATTCTACTAATTAAATCATATAGTTATGGGATGTCTGTTCAGATCAAGAAGCAGTTGATCTCGTTCGTTATCAACAAGATCCAGTTGCCGCAGCTAAACAACTGGTCGAGTATGCTCTCGCTCGATTCAGTACGGATAATTTATCTTGTATGATTGTTCGATTTAATCGACCACTTCTTGTTGCAACGGCAAAAGATTCTCATGCAGCTATTGGCGTTGAAGGTGATGGTAATATGGGATTCGGTACACTTTCCGAAGCAGATAAAATTGTTTCAGAATCTCGGCAAAAAGTTAAAGATGGAGCATCAAATCTCGGTGTTAGTGGTAGCAATAGTGGTGCAGGACATGATCCTAAGTTTGATGGAGCCGTAGAGGATGAAGAAGATGAAGAGAAACCTCGGATGGAGAGTGTAGTTGAAGAGGAACCTCAATCTATCGAGGGTGATTCATCGGCTCCGGAAATAGATTTAAATGCTGCGGAGAAGGCGAAAGCGGAGGAGACGGCTGCAAATTTGCATTTACCGGCTGGAGCTGAGAAGTAATGTTTTTTACTTGTGTATATTTTGAGTGGGAGGGGTAGTGCGGGGAGCGGATTTTTCTTTTCTTTGCGGTTTGCTCAGTGATTATTTGGGTTTATTTTAGGAGGTTGAGAGGGATGTGGAAGGGGTGGCAATGAATGGATGGATGGATGGACGGATGGACGGATGATGGCTTGATGAAGACTTATCTGAGTTATAGTTCTGTGACATGGGTAGAGGGATTCGGGGAAGGATGGATGGATGGATGGATGAAAGAAGTTTTTTTTTGCCAACTGATGAGTGGGTGCTATGAATATGGATTTTGGGGGGTAGGCGGGGTGGGGATGGGGATGGGGATGGGGTAGGGGCAGGGGAATATTAAATTACGCTAAGTACGTACCTAAACAATGATACGTAGCGTACCGTACCGTACCGTACAATGTATGAATGTTTATGCATGCTTGCATGATTCGATTCGATATGATTTGATATGTTATGATATGATATGATATGAATGGAATTGAATGGATTGAATTGAATATTAGTGTTTTCTTATTTTATTTTATGTTTTCTCATATAGGGGTGCTTATTTTTGTATTTGTGTATGTATGTATATGTGTTTCCATATCTTTCTTATTCTAGAAAACAAATTTGTAGAGTATAACAGAGTAGGTAAGAAGAAGAAATTAAGAAGAAGAAGAAGAAGTTGAAGTTTGAAGTTGCGCAATAAATATAATAAATACAATCCGAATACACTCTAAACTCGTATCTATATCTGTATCTACATTTGCATCTGCATCTGAATCTGCATCTGCATCTGCATCTGCATCTGCATCTACATTTGCATCTCATAATTAAAATAATATCAATATCAAATATAAAACATCAAAAAGCATAAAAACCATCTCATATTTCCAGGTATCCACCCCCTCTCCCCTATTCACCACAAGCGAGATATATCTACTATACTAAGTGCTCCGAGTTTACTTGGTTCTGATTCCCTCCGTTTCGCTCTTCGCTTTTTCTATTCCTATTCCTATCTCCTATTCCTAGGTATTCCCAACAGCATATATAACTGTAAATGCAAGTGCGTACGTATTTAGCGCATTCGCTTGCACCTGCCCCTACCACTTCTCCTCTATCAATAACACATTCCCTCCCAATCAACCAGCTCATATAAGAAGCAATTAACTCCACCCCACTCCATTTCTCAACTGACTTTGAATCCCTCCAGGTAGACGCCTATCACCATTCACCCTAACATGTAAACTAATTTCTCATTCCCCTCAATTGTTCCTTCGAAACTATGTACCAAGATTATTTGTCGTTTATTATCCATTATCGTAACCGTACAAAAGTGATAAATCAAACCATTAGACATATCATATGGTCGCCCATAGAGAATCCTTCTTCGCTAAAATGCAGATATTTTGCCATGGCCAAATCATTTCGTATTGATTGTCTCTTTTGAGAATAAATCTAAAGAGCAGAATGTGGTGTCGAGTGAGCTGTTGTTGGGGTTTCATTATAATCTAGATTGCTAGATCCAGTAGCTAGCCTGATTGTATTTGTTCTCCCTGCACCACCATCGAAAATGAATGGCCCCACGTCATTTCTAGGTGTCATTGGTCCTTCACCCGTGAGAGGATCTGCCAATGTAGGATGCATCCCATTTGGACTTGGTGAACCGCGCTCAGAACGAGAAGTGGAGGCGGCACTAGGGACTGGTTTTCTTGCGATTATGTCGACAGGTGATACTGTAGAACTCAAGTTGGTTTGAGGAACCGGTGTGGCTGAAGCCGAACTGGCTTGTGAATCGCTGACGTTAAGAAAAGCTATATCTTCGAGTCTAGTTTCGTGGGCGTGAGCACCTGTACTAGAATCATCACTCGTGTCGAGATCATCTTCGATATGATTCATATTCGAAGGTTCAAAGGTTTCCGGCTCTGGTAAAATTGGTGCCGCTATAGGGTCACTCGTTCGTGGTAAAACCGTTTCCTGGGTTGTTGGCTCGGTTCCAACGGGATTGTTTGTATTTGTTGCCGATTCTGATGTTGCTTCCACCTCAGCCTCCGCATCAGATGTGGCCAATTCCTCCCAATCTCCATCTGGTTCATCAAGCTCTGCCTCGAGATCTGCGACTGTACGACAATTTGGACATATAAAATGAGGCCAAGCAGGACCATTGATAACAACTCGTATACATTTGTAATGCCATGTATGAGAACATGGTGCGACGAATAAAGATTGGCAGGGCTTGCATATGTTAGTTTAGGGCTATCAGGTAGGAGAAAACGTCGTGACTTACTGCTATAGGTCCCAGACAAATTGAGCAATCTTGCGAGGAACTACTCGAACCACCTGAGGCTTGTTTTTTGAGATTGTTGTTGAGCTCGCGCAAGCGCTTATGAGATTGTACACTAGGAAGAAGATTAGCAAACACACTGGATTCACCATCAAACTAGTAGACATACTTGAAACTGCTAGGACCAGTTTGCCATCCTTTGTTGAGTTCCACTCGTATTTTGACGCATCTAAATATCATTTCCTCACCACCTTTGAAATCTATACCTAATTGAACTATATCGCCATCGTTCACTGGGAATGGTTTTGATTCTGTTCCAGGCGAACTTAATCGTATATGATTGAGAAATGTGCCCGATGAACTTTTCACATCCTTGATAAACCAACGACCTCCCGTGCACCAAAATTCACAATGACGTCTGCTAACCACTTTTGACTTGAAACCAACTGGTGCAAACGATGGCACATTCGTAGCATGAGGGGGTTGATTATCTCTTTCGGAATATCGACCAACTTTTATAATTTCCTTTCCTGTCGGGAGTGTTCGACTCATGGTACCAAATACGAGAGATGGACGATGGGCTCGAGGATCTTGATGCGGAGAGAAACGAATCGATGGTAATTGATGCGACATGGTTTCTCTTGTTGATTGGGAAGTGTTCTCTCCCAAGTCATTTAATAAAGGCATATCTGCTGCCCCTCCTGTTCCTGCAGATCTAGTTCTTGCCATCGACGCCTCCAGACCAGAGGTTATCGCAGATGAATCGTTGGCCGATAAGACGGCTGAAGAGGAGGCAGTCGCGGTAGGTTGTGGCTGAGTTGCAATTCTTGATACTCCGCTGTGACCTCCCACTGTCGGTAACCACCCACTTGTCGATCCAAGATTTTCTTGATTATTCGAACCTGCAGAAGTTAATTCGGGGGGGTTTGTGGATCTTCGTGCAGTGGGTGAAATTTGTCGAGGAAGAATTTCGGTTGTAGGAGTTGCAGAAGTTGCAGGCGAGGCTGCAGAAGAGGCGTGAGAGGGTGCGCTCGCTGACGTGGGGGATGAAGGTGAAGGGTAACTTGAGGTGTGTGAGAGTGTGGGTCGTGAATTTTGATGATTGCTATTCGAACTTGTATTTGAATTCGAATTGGAATTTGTATTTGTATTGGAAGGAGTTTGATTGTGGTGTTCCCTCGATAACAAATGATTTTGGGTGTAACTTCGCAAATAACTTAAACCTCGTAGACGACCTCTGGTTGATGATGATGTGGTGGGAGATGTTGGGGTTGTAGTTGGTTGTGGGGAGATTGGTGAGACGGTTTGTGGTGCACTTCGTTCTCGTACAATGGGTGATGATATTGAAGTGGTTGGGTTCCAGGACGAACTAGGGAGCGAGGAATACATGGAGAGAGAATGTGAAGCACGAGGATGAAGTTAATCCTCGACTTTTATTCTTCTTGAAGGAGGGAGAGAGATGGAGGTGTATCTTGGTTGAAATCAATCGATAACAAAGTTATAAAGAATGAGAATTTGGATTTGTTGGATTTGAATTTGATTTGAATTCGAATATAACAAAGGATGATGATCGAACTCAAGACAAGTGATGATAAAAGAAAAGAAAAAACCCTTGAATACTAGGTAGGTAAATTAACTAGTAAAAGAGATTATGTATGGAGAGGTGGTAGGTAGGTAGTCGATGTATGGTCTCGAGATAGTGTGTGTGATATGTACGGTAGGTAAGGTATGTACCTGGTAATCCCGTACTATCACTACACTATATGGTAGTCAAAGAGTTGTTGATATTGATGAATCTGGATGGATTGATTGGATCGGATTGGATTCGAGTCTGTTCTTGATCGGATTTGGGGACCAGAGAAGTCAAGTGGCTTGTCGTGCGTGCTGTGCGTTAACTTGACATCTAGATTGGAAGTCAGGAAGTATGGTGTGATACGAGGATGGATAGATGGGAGGAGGAGGAGTAGCAGTAGTAATATAAATCAGTATTAAACAGTAGTATCGGTATCGTATAGTTTCTGGGATAAATCAATAGACATGAAAAAAAGAAGAGAAGAGGAAAAAAGAATTTGAATGGAGATGCGGTGTGTTGACGTTGAAATATGTGAATATGTATGTATGTATGTGTGTGTGTGAAATAGAGTGTAAGATCTTATGTATGTACAAGTACTAAATAGGTGTGTATATGGATATAAGTATGTGTGTATGGATATCTATATCTTTTCTCAGAAACCTTAACAAGAATAAGAATGCGAATAGACCGTTGAGGATATCTGGATGTTGATGTTGGTTGTATGGTGGTTGTTAGGGAGGATCTCAGAGTGTTGGTGAAGGTAGCATTGCATTTGCATCCAGGTGGGTAAAATTACTGAAGTATATGTGAAGTATATCGTATTTCTCGAATGAATGAGTTCTAGAATACGGAGCAGTAGTCGTACGAGATGTTGAGTGATGAGATGATGATGATGATAATAATAATAATTATTATTATAACATCCACATATATTAACGCGTATCTACTCGAGTATATAAATATCTAAACATATACATATATTTACATATACATACATCCATAATACCCACATACATATATATACACACATATACATACACACACACACATATACATACACACACATACATATACACACACACACATATCCTTCCTACAATGACATACACATATACACATACTCACTCATATGGCCGCAAGCAATAATCTCGGTCGATATCCATCAGGCCATTGATGAAGATGGATCGAGAGAGATACGCGATCAGTCAGAATGGCACGAGTGCAACCGACGTGATATAAAAAATGGCCGGAAACAGGGCTGGATTTGGTAACGACGTTCCTTTTCACAGCCATGGTATTGCCACGATAGATTACAAACCTGGGTCCCTGGCTGGATCCATACAAATTCTTTCTGAATATGTGTATGACTACCTAGGTCTGGGTGTATAGGTAAAATCAACCATAAATTATAAAGACTTCTCAATACAACCGATCAATACATTCGCATTCTTACATCTAACTTCACTCCCACTTCACTCCAAACAGACTTCAACAACTCAACTTCACTCCCACTTCACCTCCTCCCAAATCTTGATAACCGCAATAAAAAAGATAAAAAATGCTTTGACCGTTAAATCGCATGGTTCTAATCAATCCTGGCTCGCCTGATAGTAGTCCATCCTGGTCTAGTCGCTGATTCAACGCCTCTGTTAACCCCAAAGCGGGAAATGTGTGGCACGTGAACAATGTCTGAATACGGCACAGTCCACGGCTTGCGCTACTAGCCGTGGACAGCTGCAACCTTGGAAGGTGGAAGCCTCGAAGCCTGCATGATTGTGATTATTGCCTGAGGCTGCTAGAGGCTGCCTCGGCTTCAATCTTGCTATCACGGTACAACAGACGGTACAACAGTATCACCGTATCACCGTCACCTTTATCACTGATCCTGATCACGTAAGCTCCCTCAATCAAAAGAACGCCACCCCGCCATCAGCCGGTAAATACCGAACTCAAGTTTTTTTTGGGAATATCCGTACTAAGCAATCATGATTGATGTAACCGCTACGGAACTTTCGCGGCGACGAAGTCAATTTCTACCTTCAACTTACTACAATTACTACAAATAACATTCATTATGCTAAGAAATCCTTCAACGAGGCTTCTAAGGAGGGCTCTTTCATCTCAAAGACCCATATCCAATGTTTTACCTGCTTTCCGCTCAAGAAATTTAGCTACTGTAGTGGAACCTGTACAAAAGGTACAAATGAAGTCCAAATTTCTAATCCTCTTCACCTCGACTAACATGAGTCACATATAGGATCCCGCTGAGTTAGATCAAATCACTACCCTTCCCAATGGAGTGCGAGTCGCAACTGAAGCTTTACCCGGTCACTTCTCCGGCATTGGAGTATACATCGATGCAGGGTCCAGATACGAAAATGAAGATCTCAGAGGGGTTAGTCACATAATGGATAGATTGGCATTCAAGTCTACGTCAAAGAGATCAAGCGATGAGATGTTAGAGTCAATAGAGTCACTGGGGGGAAATATACAATGCGCTTCATCCAGAGAATCTTTGATGTATCAATCTGCCACATTCAACTCTGCGGTCCCAACTACTGTCGCTCTTCTCGCCGAGACAATTCGAAATCCTTTAATCACTGAGGAGGAGGTTTCACAACAATTGGTGACTGCTGAATATGAGATTGGCGAGATTTGGTCAAAGCCAGAGTTAATTCTTCCGGAAATCGTACATTTGGTTGCATACAAGGGAAACACTCTTGGGAATCCTCTATTGTGCCCGAAAGAACGACTGTCTGAAATCAACAGCAACACCATACAACAATACCGGGATACTTTCTATAGACCTGAAAGAATGGTTGTAGCATTTGCGGGGGTGCAACATGAAGAAGCAGTAAAACTCGCCGAACAACATTTTGGAGATATGCCAAAATCAGCTCCCATTTTATCACAAACAGGATCGGAAACATCTCTCGATTCATTATCAGGTGAAACTAGCAGCAACAGTTCTATATCATCATCTTCCTCATCAACACCACCTTCACCAACACAAAAGCCATCCACCTTAATATCACGCATGCCATTTTTCAAGAACATCTCCACTTCCGCGCCCAAAAATGCCTCTGTTCAGAATGGTTTCCTAAATCCTCTTGACCTTAACCAACCTTCACGTTATACCGGTGGATTTCTTGCCCTCCCAACTCTTCCACCGCCAATGAACCCTGCCCTCCCCGCACTAAGCCATATCCATATCGCATTCGAAGCTCTTCCCATCTCTTCCCCTGACATTTACGCCCTCGCTACTCTTCAAACTCTTCTTGGCGGTGGTGGATCCTTCTCTGCTGGTGGTCCTGGCAAAGGCATGTATTCTCGTCTTTATACCAACGTTTTGAATCAACACGGGTGGGTTGAGTCATGCATGGCTTTCAACCACTCTTACACTGATTCTGGGCTTTTTGGAATCTCATCCTCATGTTCCCCAGGCTACGTCAAGAATATGCTTGATGTCATGTGCCGTGAACTTCAAAGTCTCACTCTCGATTCTGGATTCAGCGCATTACAAACTGCAGAAGTTAATCGTGCGAAGAATCAGCTGAGATCAAGTTTATTGATGAACTTGGAATCGAGGATGGTAGAATTAGAAGATTTAGGAAGACAAGTACAAGTACACGGAAGAAAGGTTGGAGTTAGAGAAATGTGCAAGAAAATCGAAGGATTAACCGTCAAAGATCTTAGAAGAGTAGCCACACAAGTCTTTGGGGGTCTGGTGAAAAATGCAGGAGAAGGAAGTGGTAGCCCAACAGTGGTCTTACAAGAAGGCGAAGAAGAAGGAAGAGTATACAAAAATTTCAGCTGGGAAGATATTCAAGATCGGATTCATGGGTGGAAATTGGGAAGTTGGTGAAAAAAAGTAAAAAAGGAACAAAAGTACATTTTATCGTATGTATCGGGCGGAGAATAGGATCTCTTCTCCATGTAAGTTGGGTGTTTTTTGTATGATATTGATGGATGATGTGATGATTTGAGGGGCATTTAAATGCGTGTGCATATGTGGCGTTTTGTTTTGTTGCTTTTTTGATTACTAGGTTCTTGGGAAGAGAGGAGAAGAGAGGAGGAAGGTAGGAAGGATGGGTGGAAGGATGGATGGATGGATGGATGGATGGATGGATGGATGAGAGTTGAACAATGGAAATGGGAGATGGAAAAATGGAATATGGAATATGGAATATGAGAAAACTCTCCTGACATGCCCAGGTCCATTTGATAGAATAGTCGTAGAATGAATGCCGGCAGATGGAGAGATTTGTAAGAAGAAAGGATGAAGTGGATGAAAGAGGATGAAGAAATACAATCGATTATTTAATCAAGCAAGCAATCAAGCAATCAAGCAATCAAGCAATCAAGCAATCAAGCAATTATTTTAGGAATAGGTAGGTAGAATGAGTAAATAAATAAATTGAAATACTTGTGGAATACTAAATAATGAATGAATATGAATATGAATGTGAATATGAATGTTGATTAATACTCTTTTTATAAGATTATTATGCTTGCTTTGGATTTGGGATTTGGGATAATAGATGAATGAATGAATGAATGATTAATTAAATGAGTATGTGATTCAGTACTAAGTAATAGGTATGTAAATATATATTTAATATATATTTAATATATAAGATATAAATATGACTATAATATAATAACTATAATATAAATATACTATCCCTCTACCTATAACTCTACATATAAATAAATATAAATATAATATAAATATAAATATAAATATAAATAATATAAATATAAATATAAATATAAATATAAATATAAATATAAATATAAATATAAATATAAATATAAATATAAATATAAATATAAATATAATATAAATATAAATATAAATATAATATAAATATAAATTAAATATAATATAAATATAAATATAAATATAAATATAAATATAAATATAAATATAAATATAAATATAAATATAAATATAAATATAACTATAACGTGGTTTATCAGTGGGTCGGCCATATCAGTGGATCGGCCACTTTTACCTCGAATTATTATTCTATTTTCGACACGTGTTTTCTTCATAACTAAACATGGAAAGTCATTCTAAAGAAGTATGTATAATCTTAGCTATTCAAGCTATCGAATCAAATAAAAAATTGATAATTCGAAAGGCAGTTTAGCTTTATGGTGTATCTCGATCTATATTGGGTAATAGAATTCGAGGTAAACCTAATATGGCTGAGAGTCAACCAAAAAGTCATAATTTGATTAAATTGGAAGAGGAGGTATTTATGCAATATATACTTGATATAAATAGCAGAGGATTTTCACCTAAATTGAGTATTGTTGAAGATATAGCGAATTATATATTCGAAACACAAAGAGCAAAAAGATTGGAAAACTCTGGGCTCATCGATTCGTAAAGTGTTATATAGAATTAAAAACACATTTTAATTGTGTTTATAATTTTCAAAAAGCTCTCTGCAAAGATCCCAAGCTTATTAAAGACTGATTTCATCTAGTTTCGAATATACAGGCAAAATATGGTATTCTCGACT